ATACACAAAAATGAACTCAAAATGGATTAAAGACCTAAATGTAAGGCCAGACACTATAAAATCTTTAGCAGAAAACATAAGCAGAACACTCTATGACATAAATCACAGCAAGATCCTTTTTGACCCACTTCTTAGAGAAATGGAAATAAAACCAAAAATAAACAAATAGGACCTAATGAAACTTAAAAGATTTGCATAGCAAAAGAAGCCATAAACAAGTCGAAAAGACAACCCTCAGAATGGGAGGAAATATTTGCAAACAAAGCAACTGACAAAGGATTAATCTCCAAAATATGCAAGCAGCTCATGTAGCTCAGTATCAAAAAAAACAACCCAATCCAAAAATGGGCAGAAGACCTAAGCAGACATTTCTCCAAAGAAGATATACAAATTGCCAAGAAACACATGAAAGGATGGTTAACATCACTAATCACTGGAGAAATGCAAATCAAAACTACTATGAGGTATCACCTCACACCAGTCAGAATGGCCATCATCAAAAGATCTACAAACAATAAATGCTGAAGAGGGTGTGGAGAAAAGGGAACCCTCCTGCACTGCTGGTGGAAATGTAAATTGATACAGCCACTATGGAGAACAGTACGGAGGTTCCTTAAAAAACTAAAAATAGAACTACCATATCACCCAGCAATCCCACTACTGGGCATATACCAAGAAAACCGCAATTCGAAAAGAGTCATGTACCACAATGTTCACTGCATCACTATTTACAATAGCCAGGACATGGAAGCAACCTAAGTGTCCATCGACAGATGAATGGCTAAAGAAGATGTGGCACATATATACAATGGAATATTACTCAGCCATAAAAAGAAACGAAATTGAGTTATTTGTAGTGAGGTGGATGGACCCAGAGTCTGTCATACAGAGTGAAGTAAGTCAGAAAGAGAAAAACAAATACTGTATGCTAACACATAGATGGAATCTAAAAACACCAAAAAAAAAAAAGGTTCTGAAGAACATAGAGGCAGGACAGAAATAAAGATGCAGATGTAGAGAATGGACTTGAGGACACAGGGAGGGGGAAGGGTAAGCTGGGACGAAGTGAGAGAGTGGCACTGACATATATACACTACCAAATGTAAAGTAGATAGCTAGTGGGAAGCAGCCGCATAGCACAGGGAGATCAGCTCGGTGCTCTGTGACCACCTAGAGGGGTGGGATAGGGACGGTGGGAGGGAGACACAAGAGGGAGGGGATATGGGGATATATGTATATGTATAGCTGATTCAGTTTGTTATACAGCAGAAACTACCACAACATTGTAAAGCAATTATACTCCAATAAAGATGTTAAAAAAAAATAAACCCCTATCCCTGGTTGCTGTCAAGAAAGGAAAATTTACTGACAAGTGCTTTGTTTATACTAAAAACATCACTGTTTAAATCATCTGCAAAGGAAATGGCTCACGGTCCAACATACGGAATATTAAGAGGCACACACCCCATTTCATAATTATGCAGTTTACTAGGTCAGCAAGCAAAAAGGACTTCAAAACGTCATGACAAACAGTGCTCCAAGGCAGAGCATTCAAAGATACTGCAGTACTGTCTGGTTAAAATAGTTCCTGAAACCTTATCCACAGCAACTAATTCCTGTAGAACAGGAAATTTTTTTTTAATATTTAAAGTACACTTACAAATAATGCCTTTCCTGGTTTTAAAAGATGTATTTTTTCCCTTCAACGTTTCATTATGAAATGCTGAAATGTAAGAAGATTCAATGAATAATAACAAACACCCATTTACTCACCACTTAGATTCTACAAGGGCTAACATTTTGCTATATTTGCTTTACCTCCTCACCTATCCATTGATCCAATGGCAGAACTTTTAAAATTGTGTTGACTGTGTGTTGCCAACTTTTTTACTGTGAAATAATTTCAAACTTGCAGAAACATTGAAAAAACAGTACAGAAAACTCCCATATTCTCTTTACACAAAGTCATCAATTTTTAGTATTTTGCCAAATTTGTTTCATTGTCCTCTCTCTGTAAAAAGACATACTATATTTTTTCTGAACCATGTGAAAGTAGATTGAATGTATCATGTCCCTCACCCCTTACCACTTCATTTGTATTTCCTAAGAATAGTCATATTCTCTGACATTTCTACTCTGTTGTTTATCAAATTCAGGAAAGTTAACACTGGTATAATTTTAATACTTTAATCTATCATTTGTATTCCAATCTTGTCAACTGTCTCAGTACATTCTTTTTTTTTTTTTTTTTTTTGCGGTACGCAGGCCTCTCACTGTTGTGGCCTCTCCCGTTGCGGAGCACAGGCTCCGGATGCGCAGGCTCAGTGGCCATGGCTCACGGGCCCAGCTGCTCTGCGGCACGTGGGATCCTCCCGGACCGGGGCACGAACCCGTGTCCCCTGCATCGGCAGGCGGACTCTCAACCACTGCACCACCAGGGAAGCCCTCAGTACATTCTTTACAGCATTTTTTCCTCTCTTTAGTACAGGATTCAGTTCAGGATCATGCATTGCGTTTTGTTTTCACGTCTGTGTAGTCTGTGTTAATTTGGAACAGTTCCTTAACCTTCTTTGTCACTGATGGCAAAGATTTTTTTTACAAGCCAATTACTTTATAGAATGCTCCTCAATCTGGGCATGACTAATGTTACCTCATGATTAGATTCAGTCATGCATTCTCGACTGGAATGTTACATAGATGATGCTGTGTCTTTCCTGTTTTTCGGGGTTCCATATCTGCAGGTACAAGATAGCCACTTGCTCCTCAATGGTGATAAGGATTTTGATTAGCCTGTCAATGACTGTCCAAATTCTCCACTCCAGAGTCACTATTTTTCCCCTTGCGATTATACTCATTCTACGGGAGGAGATACGGAAACGTCCTGCTCCTCATCAGACATCCCCCAGATTTAGCATCCACTGATGATTCTTGCCTGAAGACCGATGATTCTTGTCTTCACTGTGATGGCTACAAATGGTGATTTTTCAACTCTACCATTTCTTCCACATTTCTCAAATGGCACCCCTGCCCACCTTTCCCCTCATCTATTTATTTATTTATCTATTCGTCATAAGGGCCGACTCCTGGATTCCTACTTTACTCAGTGGATTATAATCCATCACTGTGTTTATTTCATTTGATGCTCAAACTGGGGACCTGTGAGAGCCCCTTCCAAGCTGTTCCTGTGCCCATTTCATGTGCCCCCAGCAGTACTTCCTTACTTCCTGGCACAAGAAAATGTTCCAGGCTCACCTTATACCTTCCCTGTCCTAGAACTGGAGTAAGCTAATTCTTCACAGAGCCCCACAGTTTTATTTTCTTGATGTGGCCCTCACTTAAGACCAAGGGCTCACAACCGATATGGGTGGCTGTCTGGAATGCAGGCTGACCCCGGGGCGTCTTTTATAAGTTGCTCTCAGATATGACAGAATTACAGTATAGTATAGTTCCCTTGTCACTTAGGAATGGGCTGCATTAAAATTATTATGTTACTTAAAGTTTTCAATTAATTGGGTCACTAGCAGTCAAGGCCTCACTGAAAATGCCCCAACTAAAATTCTGCACATCAGTCTTCATATGAGGCCGAGACCTTGACCACCCACAAGGGTATGACCCATCTTCTCGACACATTTTATTTACCCTGCAATACTGACCAAGAGCCTGCTGTGCGTGACTGTATTCTTTTCATTCCATCTAGAAAAATGCCAGATAGTTAGTGGCTGCTCAATAAATTGTAATGATGAACCATTTTAATTAGCAAATGGTGAAAATTTCTTAAATGAGTAAAATGTAAGAATTCTAAAATTTATACAAGAATAAGTAACTAGGGCTTCCCACGTGGTGCAGTGGTTGAGAATCCGCCTGCCAATGCAGAGGACGCGGGTTCGAGCCCTGGTCCGGGAAGATCCCACATGCCGCAGAGCCCACGTGCCACAACTACTGAAACCCGCGCACCTAGAGCCCGTGTTCCACAATAAGAGAAGCCACCGCAATGAGAAGCCCACGCACTGCAACGAAGAATAGCCCCCGCCCGCCTCAACTAGAGAAAGCCCACGCGCAGCAACGAAGACCCAACACAGCCAAAACTAACTAACTAACTAAATTTATTTATTTAAAAAAAAAGAATATGTAACTAATTTTCTTATACTAAGTGAGCCCAGAAATCACTTGATCATAGGCAGTAAGTGCCAGAACATCATGTTATTAAATAAAAAATAAAATCTTAATTAGGTCTGAAGTTACTTTACAGTAAGTGATCCTGAGCTGGATTCTGTACTAGTGGGGAAAAAAATCTGCTACTGAGGACATTGAGTCCACTGACAAAACTGGAATATGGACTGTGGAGTAGGTAAAAGTAATATATTAACATTAAATTCCCTGATGTTGATAACTAAACTGTGGTTATAAAGGAGAATGTCCTTGTTCTTAGGAAATACTCACTGAACTCTTTAGAGGCAGAAGTGGCATGATGTATGCAATTTATCCTCAACTGTTTTTTAAAAAATTTACATACGTATGTATGAATATATATGTCTCTGTGTGTGTGTGTGTGTGTGTGTGTACACACAATGATAAAGTAAACATGGAATCTCTCAACAGCTGGTGAATCTGGGTAAAAAATAATGGAAGTTCTCTGAGCTATTCTTTTAACTTTCCAATAAAGTTTGAATTTATTTCCAAATAAAAAGTTAGCTTAACTGAAAAACATAGGCATCTCACTTACTGGTGCCAAGCAACTGTACAGGGCTTTCCACATCACACCTCACTGAATCCTCACAACCATTCTGAGGAGGACTATCATTATCCCCATTTTACAGTGAGAAAACTGAGGCACAACAAGACTAAGTAACTGATTAAAGGGCACATGGCTAAGACATGGCAAAGCCAGGATTCAAACCCAGGATTATCTGACTTTACAGCCTGACCCATGCAACATACCTATTTAATTCAACAGAATAAAATTCCTTACAGTGTGGAAATGAGAAATGAAAATCTGTCACCTGAGGGTAGGAGTCTTCAAATGCACGATCTGGAGTCATGTGCTTGATGATATCGGCCAAAACAGTATTCACCTCTCGTTTCTAAGTGGGGAAAAAAATCAAACCTGTATTTAGACACTGAATGGTAGTCATTGACCATTTTTCTGATAGAAAGAACTAACGTTTTCAGAATATAGCACACACTTTCCAGGAAGCAGTTTCAACTACTCTGCTGAAAATAATGTAAGGGGGGATATCCCACCCATACCACAGCCCTAAAGATGGCTATGTCTGCGCCAAGTCAGGACTAAAACACGGTTCTCAAAGGTTCCTGTCCCAGCTTTCTCTGAGTGCTGGTGAAATCCAACGTGCCACTTTCTGCCTGCCAGTCCCGGGCCCCTCCCCAGGTGCTGCAGAGAGCAGCGAAGCATTGTGGGAAGAGCACAGACTGAACCCTTACAAGCTGGGTGACTCAATGACCACTTCACTTTTGTCAGCTGTATCAGGCGTCAGCCAACCAGCCCAGCACCTATTTTCATACAGTCCAGGCGCCAAGAATGATTTTTACATTCAAACCCAAAGAATAATAATATTTGGTGACAACGAAAATTATATGAGATTCAAATTTCAGCATGCATAAATAAGGTTTACTATTTACACAGCCATGCTCACTCCTGTATGGTCTACGGCTGCTTTCATGATACAGTGGCAGAGTCGGGCACTTGTAACAGAGATCATATGGTCCACAAAGCCTCAAATACAGAAAAAAGAGGACTTCTACAGAAAAAGTGTGCTGACCCCTGGTCTATATAACTGGAACAGTGAAACTTCCTGGCAAGGTCACTATGAAGCTGTGCAGCTTACAGGTAAAGTGCCTGGCACATAGCACGCTATCTAACTAGTTGCCATTATGGACTCTCTCATTTAATGTTCATTAAACTCCACAGCATGCGGACTTCCCTGGTGGTCCAGTGGTTAAGACTCTGCGCTACCTATGCAGAGGGCCTGGGTTCAATCCCTGGTCAGGGAACTAGATCCCATATGCCACAACTAAGAGCCCGTGTGCCACAACAAAGATCCCGCATGCCGCAACTAAGACTGGGCGCATCCAAATAAATAAATACATACAGAAATAAATAAATAAATATTTTTAAAAAAAACCTCCCCATGATAAATAAATAAATATTAAAAAAAAAAACACCTCCCCATCATGGACATCATTATCCCCATGAAAAGTTAAGTGGCTAAGCGGCTTAGCCAGGGTCACAGAGCTAAAAAAAATCTGACAATGGCAATAAAAGGAACGAAAGCTTCTTGGAGAAAGAGCTGATTCCAAATCTAAGATAAGAAAAATACAAGGGAGGCTGGAGCATCTTATAATAGAAAGCAAGGAAGGCATCAAAGACTACAAAGAATGTGTCAGGACTCAGAAGCCAACCTGAAAAAGCACCCACTGGACAAAAATGGGACAACTGAGCAACAGTAAGAATAATACAATTGCAATGACTGATACATATCAAATATGTCTCAGTTAGTGAGCTCCTACAGATACCCACAGCAACTACTATTCACTGGTGACCTTTGGGGATGCTGGGGAATTGACTCTTTACTCTAAAAACTAGTAAGTAACAGGGACAAAAATGAGCATCTTGCCTTTTCTGTACAAACTGTACCTCAGGGTAACCAAATACGTGGAGCGAAGAGGTTCTCTTCATTCAAGTATTCAAGTATTCTAGCTAACAAATAAAGGAGAAATGATAACTCCGAATATCACCACTTTGCAACCCGTGATAAACCATAAGATGAATGCGCTTCAGTGGTCACTCACATCACGGAGAGACAACCAGATACCGTGAGCCTCCCAGGAGAAGCACCATGCCAGCACCCAGGGTGCCAAAAAGTCAGATCTGAAGCTGATGAAGTCTCCTGTCTCCAGAACTAACTGTTGATTTATAGGAAATACTGGAGGCAGAAGAGCATGTTTAATCACCACCACAGGCATACATCTGGCCAATCGAGACTGGGAAACTCTACAGGACAAAGGACCCAATTTCTTCAACAAATAAATAATAGAAAAAAAAAAGGGAAGGGAACAGGGAGGGAGGGAGAGAAAGAGAGGGGAAGAGAGAGGGAACTTACAGATTAAAAGAACTCTAATTAAAGGTTTTACAACGTATAGACCCTATTTTAATCCTGATTGAACAAATAAACTGTAAAAAACTTATGAGACAATTGGGGGAATCTGAAAATTTATCGATTTTTAATGGTATTAAAACATTATTAATTTTATTAGTTACAATAATGTATTGAGATTTTGTTTCAGAAAAGTGAATTCTATTTTAGAGATATGTGCAGAGATACTGACAGGTGAAACACGGTGATTGAGCTGTGCTTCAAAATAATCCAAGGGCGGGGAGAAAAGGGAAGGACACGAAACAAGATCTGTCATAAGTTGATCATTTCTGGGTGATAAGTACAAGGGAGATCATATGTTTGAAGTTTCCATAATAAAACAAAAATTGGACAAAAGAAAGAAAATTAACAGACCAACATTTACATAATGCTCAAAACGAGGCAAAACCCATTTCTGGAGTTAGAGACCAGATGGTGCCTACCTTCAACTTCCAAGGCTGTGACTGGGAGGAGAGTATGGGGGGCTTCAGGGTGGGGTGGGGAGTTATTTCCTGTTTCTTGATCTGGACCATGATTACATGGGTGTATTTTGTGAAGATTCATTATACAGCAAACTTACGATATATATGCTTTTCTTCATGTAGGCTAAACTTCGGGGTTTTTTAAGTTGATTAAAATAAACACCTGGCAACAGGATTTGAAACCACTTCTACCTGCTTCTAAAGTCTCTGCTCAAAAAAAGTCTCTGCTCATTGACAAGACCAGTATTTCCCAAACTGGGGTTCTAGTTTGGGCCTAGGAAAAGAAGCATCTTTGTTTGCTTAGAAAAAAGTTAAATTACATGCAAATCAAATATGTTTGGAAAACGCTGCTGACTAGACTCCCATGGAAAGTTCCAATATATTTTAACAATAAGGATCTAAGGTGTATTATGGTGAAAAAACCTGCTTAACTTTGTACAATGCAGCATTTCCCAAGCTTACACGTGAGTGTGGAACACTTTTGTTATAGGTCACGTATTAATGCTCCATCACACTATACTATAAAGGATGCAATTTTCATAAATTAAGAATAATTACCATCATAAAATACCTAAATGTCTAAGCTAGACTTATTCACAATTACGAACATGAAAAAAATATACAATAATTCTTTCAAAAACGATACCACAGCACACATACCGTGAAATGTTTGCAGGTGTACTCTACCCACACTTCGGCACAATTAATGTAGTCCTATAAAGAAAAAGTAAAAATGTCTTTACAATAAGAATGCCACGATTGACCTTATGGCAAAAGCTCATCGTGTACAAATCCCTTCAAGGGCTTTGAAAACTAAGAGTTGGTAAGTGATGAGGATTTCAAGAGTGGTTCATGTACAGAAAACTCTGGCCCACTGATAGATTTTACCCTGAGAGGTGACGTGAGAAAACATAAGTTGCCTGAAACTAATTAGACTGTCATTCCAGAATTGCTACTTGGGCCAAGACAGAAATCTGGGAGGCTCTGCCATGTCTGGAGAATGGGAAGAACCAAAGGGCAGCGGAGATAACAGTGGGGAGACCTCATCACACCTCAGTGGACACAATGACCATAGATCTGGTTGAAAATTCAAGTAATGTTTACGATGTGACTTTTGAATGTTCTGAGAAAAAATAGGCCTCCTGCCTTTAAAAACAAACCGTTGGTCCTAGAGAGGGTGATGCATACAAGTTGTAAAAAGGTTAAGAAAGCACAAAGGTTTTAGGTAAGAAAAGATGTGTTAGATTCAAGTAGAAGAGACAATGAGATGGCTACGGAAATGGCAATGACCAACTTGGTAAGGTTGTCTGCCCCAGAAAATATGCACATGGGAAAAAACTGTCAAGGAAAAACAGAGTCTGCAAGTATACCTTTTCTGTTCTGACACTTCAAGGAAAAAAAAGAAGAAATGGGGAGGGAAGAAAACAGTTATCTCATTCACACAAGAAAAGCCAGGAACATTCTAAAGTCTAACAGGAATGCTAAGGTGGACTTAACGAGGAGAGTGTGAAGTTAAAGACTGGAGAAAACTGTTATTATGAGCTTTTGATGCAAGGTTGCTTTGAAGCACTGAAGTACAGACACCAGAGGCCCAGAGGTTTTTGACTTAAATATCCTAAATAAGCTGTTTTCATTAGCCAATCAGAGTTAAGTTAAATAGAGAATTTCAACGGCTAGAGTTTAGTGAGAATTTTGCTGAATTAAACTAGGTATACGATTTTGTAAAAAAGTTTCTAATTTTTCTAAATTATATTGTTCTTAATACACTATCATAAATGTGGTGATTAGCAAAGGGTTTATAACTGGGCTCACTTCAATATTTCCTTCTCAATAAATGATCAAATCAAATGCCACATATTCACTTATTCTCTGTGTTATGGTCTGAATGTTTGTATCCCCCCCAAAATGCATATGTTGAAATCCTAGCCCTTGATGTGATGGTATTAGGAGGTGAGGCCTTTGGCAGTGATTAGGTCATGAGGGTGGAGCCCCCGATTGGAATTAGTGCCCTTATAAAAGGGACCCTAGAGAGGTCTCTTTCCCTCTTTCTGCGATGTGAGGAGGAGAAGCAGGCAGGCTGCAACCTAGAAGAGGGTCCTCACCAGAACCCAACCATGCTGGTCACCTGATCTTGCACTTCCAGCCTCCAGAAATGTGGGAAATAAATTTCTATTGTACATAAGCCACATGATCTATCATATTCTGTTACAACAAACTAAATGAACAAGGACATGCTGCTAGTAGGAGAGGAACAGTGCAGGGTGTGGTGAAGTTTGGCCACAAAGACAGCCAACAGCATTTCCCTAGTGGCAGCTACATAAATTGCTGGCACATTGCCTGAAAGGACAGTGAGGCATAAAACCCAAACCTACAACATGATAACCAGCACTACATGCATTACAGAAACTAACATCAGTTGGTCCATCTTCCCAAGACTTCCTGTGTCAGAAGTATGGGGAGAAAGAGCCTTCAGCTGTCCATTCAAGGGAAGGAAACTGGAATTCCCTTTTGCTAATCACTGGCTTGACTACTGATCTTCAATTTAGGAATATCTCAATAAATTGGTTTTTTCAAATCCAAATACAACTTGGCCCTTAAAAAACGCAGGGGTCAGGGGCACTGATCCTCCACGCAGTCAAAAATCCACATATAACTTATAGTCAGCCCTCTGTATCCACGATTCCTCCGTATTTGCGATTCCACTTCTGTGGATTCAACCAACCATAGGTTGTATAGTATTTACTATTGAAAAAAAATTCCATGTATAAGCGGATCTGCGCAGCTCAAACCCATGCTGTTCAAAGGTCAACCGTGCTACAGACTGCTGTACTTCGAATGCTCTTTGCAAAGCTACAGGTCTTTTAAAGTTTCAAGTATTTATAATTTTACACTTTTGGTGCATCTTAAGGTCTCAAGAATAAGACATGCTAGGGATACAAAAATCAAAGAAATACATCTTTAAAGCTATAAGTTCTCCATTACAGATTAACAAATAATGCAATTAAAAGTAGATTTCTTTAAAAAAAAATAAGGATGATTAGCTGAAAGAGAAATTTTTTAAAAGAAAGAGTATACTGCATAACCTGGACAAAAAGCAGTCAATACAAGGTCTAAATGGTCACCCACCTGTGGATTCTTCAATTTAGTGATAACTTTCCAAGCTTCATTGAGAATCTGAAGTCGATCACTCTCAGGAGGATTAGCCAAGGCCAAGTTTAAGCCCAGTGAGCGAAAGAGAAGATGCTAAGAAATACAGCAAACCATTACGATCCTGGAGATGTACAATCAGAGTAACTTGAGGCAATAAAGGAAAAGGCTGTAACAGTTGGCCTGTCTTGAGGTTAATCTTCCAACGACCGTTTTCTGAAGTTCTACCACAGACCTGTGCAAGTTAGACTGAGAAGCTCAAAACAGAGAGCTGGCTCTGTGTACTGGTCCAACCTGTGGGCCATAATATTCTCCTGGACAAAGCTTTTCATAAATAATAAGTGAAGATACAGTTTTAAGGATGTAAGACCAAAGTTCTTCCTAAATATTTCATAGTGAGCTAATTTGACAGATTTAGGACTCAAGGAGGCCTGACTCGCGGCAATTACACGTGTCTCACAACCCCAGTCGCTAACTCATTCTCCATCGTACTCTTCAGAAACAGAGCCCTCGCTTGTTTTCCTGTTGGCTGGAGCTTCCCCTGACTCCGAACTCTCTCTCCCTGGGGAGCTACTGGGCAAACACTGCCTATTTGTTCTCCGCTAAGCATTAAGTCAAGAGCCTACCTTGGGGAAACCAGACTCATCGCACTCTTTAATCATGCCGATGAAATCCATGGACCTTGTGGCGATGAACTCGGCCCGGAAAGCTGACATTACGGAATTCAACAGCAAGGCACTGAAAGACACACACACATGCCCCACGTCAGCAGAGCTTCCCCTTAATGACAGTCGCTTTCATTTTAGGATGTATGTTGTTGGGAAAGATGACTGACAGCCCTTTAATGGTAAGGGTGGAAAAATAAGAAGACTGGAGTAAAAAGGCCACCTCTAGAGACTAACTCAGTGTTTTATGCATATTCAGAACTTAATATTCAACTGACTGGAAGAATGGATGGATGGGTGGATGGATGAGTGAATGGGTAGATGGATCAATGGATGGACAGGTAAATAAGAAAGTAATCAAATCCATTTAAACAGAAGAAAACTGAGCCTTCAGTGCACAAATAAAACTAAGTATTAAGTAAGAATATTGATCCAAGCTGCAAATATATATCCGCATCTCTTATGAAAAGCACTGTTCTAGGACCTAGGGACACAGTGGTGAACAAAACACACTCCGGGCTGCTCACACATCTGCCACCAAAAGGAGAGCAGAGGAGAAACCTCTTATGCCTGGTAGACAGGAATTCGAGTTTATCCTGACCTTATCACTTATCACAGCCCCATAGGGAAAGAACTATCATTATACCCATTTTACAGAGGAGGAGACAGTAGCACAGAGGGCTCAAAGTAAGTGACCCAAGGTCAGAAAGCTAAGAAAGAGTGGAGCCAAGATCTGAAGCCAGGCACCTGGACTCCAGCATTCCTGACCTCCATGCTATCCTGCTTCTCTGTTGGCCCTCTTGCCCATGCAAGCATGCCAACCTCAAAAAAAAGCAACCAAGTCCATTTTCAAACACAGGCTTTATGAATTTCAAAATACTTACTTGTTTGCTAGTTTCTTACATCTCTCCATCATTTCGGTTAGCAGAGCCTAATCAAAAAAATGATAAAAACCATCAAGTTGGAGGATCTAAAGCAACACTTCTCATGAACAGATTTCCAAAGCAATACTCTAAAATAAATACAGCCACATGCCCATTTCTATCTCAGTGCCTGGCAGGGATGGGGAAGATGAAGGAGAAAACAAGCTCACTCTTGTGGCATTTAGTATAATGGATAAGAGCTGGGGCCCTGGCCTCAGGCACACTTGGGTTCAAATCCAGTCTCACCAACTACTTTTCCTCATCCTTAGGTAGATGATACCGACCTGTGGTACCATCCCACCTACAGATTACTGCAGGATGATGAAAGTGGTACCTCCTATGCTCCAGGGCACCAAGAATGAAATCTGCTTCACTACTCACCTCCTCTAGACCCCCCTTTTTCCTCCCCATTTCACAAGGTGTCTGTGAAATTCTCAGTGAAACAAATAACAAACACTGGGCCAGTACTTGGTGCTGGCCAGTCACGGTGAGAAGCACTTGGCACTCATGATGTCACTTCTCACAACCACCATGAGGCAGGCTCTCTATTCTCCCATTTCACAGATGAGAAACCAAGCCACTGAACAGTGATGTGCTTGGGCTAAGGTGACACGGCTAGTTACGGCGGGCTGGATGTGACCCGGGCAGTCAGGCATCAAGGGCCATGCTCTTCACTATACTTCCTCTCCATGCATTTTGAAGGACATTTTTTTCCCCAAAAGGAAGTAAATGTTTTACTCATTGGAATACTATTAATGGCTTTAGAGCTATCTTAAGACAATTACGTATCTTTAAAAGAGCTCCTATTTTTTTAAAAAAATCAATGGAAGAAGTCTCCAATCGGGCAGTGGTTTGGGGAAGGTTTTGAATGGCACAGGCAAGGTCAATCCCAAGACAAAAGAGCTGGTAACAGCAGCATCGACACTGAGAACTCACCAGGCGCACAGCACTAGGCATTGGGCTAAGCACTTTACGTACCTTTTCCCATTTACTCTTCACAATGGTCCTTGAGGCCCATGTCAATTATCAGCACTTTACACACGAGGAAGCCAAAACTCAGCTAGGTTAAGCCACTTCCTACTAAGTGGTAGAAATGAGATTTGTACCTAAGTCTGGCCCAGGAGGCAAAAGATAAAATCAGTCTTCTTTAGTGAAATTCTACCCTTTCCAGCTGTGGCCCTCTGTATCCTGGGTGCTGCCTGAATAATTAAGGTGGTAGTTGCTTGTGGAGATACTGTCAGTACCCCTTACTCCAGAACCCTGATTTTATTCAGATTTCTGTCTCTGCCAACAAAATACAGGTTGGGTCCTGTTATGGAGTGAATTATGTCCCGTCCAAATTCATATGCTGAAGCTCTAACCCGCAGTGTGACTCTGTTTGGAGATGGCGCTTTTAAGGAGTTAATTAATGTTAAGTGAGGTCATAAGAGTGCAGCCCTAATCCAACAGGACTGGTGTCCTTATAAGAAGAGGAAGAGAGACTAGGGACACACATGCACAGATGATAAGACCAGGAGAGGACACAGTGAGAAGACAGTGGACTGCAAGCCAAGGAGAAAGGCCTCACCAGAAACCAACCTTGCAGGCACCTTGATCTTGAACTTTCCAGCCTCCAAAACTTTGAGAAAATAAACTTCTGTTGTTTAAGCTACCCAGTCTATTATGGAAGCCTGCTAAGGTCTGAATAGCCACCTAATTCCCAAGTTGATGGTGTTAGAAGGTGGAGTCTTTTGGAGGTGATATGGTCTTAAGGGTGGAGCCCTTATGAATGGAATTAGTACTCTTATAAAAGTGGCCCAAGAAAGCTCCCTTGTCCCTTCTGCCATGTGAGGACACAGCATGAAGACAGCTGTCAGTGAACAAGGAAGTAGGCCCTCACCGGACACTGTATCTGCCAGCATCTTGATCCTGGACTTCCCAACCTCCAGAACCATTAGAAATAAATTTCTTTTGTTTATAAGCCACCCAGTTTGTGGTGTTTTCTTAGAGCAGCCCAAACGTACTAAGCAAAGTAATACAGGCCCAAGCCAATCACGGTGGTCCCATTCCCCTTGCCAGTGGTAAGTTTAGACAGGGCACATGACCCATTTCTTGCTACTTCGATGGGGGCTTAGAGGAAAAGTTTCCTTTTTTTTTTTTGGCCACGCTGCACGGCCCATGGGATCCTAGTTCCTTGACCAGGGATCGAACCCAGACCCTCAGCAGTGAAAGCACCGAGTCCCAACCACTGGACCACCAGGGAATTCCCAAAGTTGTCCTTAAAGAGGAACCGAAGACTCCTCATCTTTCTGCCTTCGGATGCTGCCATGTATGGACATTACGTGTGGAATGGCTACAGCCACTTTGCTGCTATCTGGGGATGGCAGAGCAGAGAAAAGAACGGAACCTGCCTGGCCCAGAGCCTTCACTGTTATTCAACAGAACACACTGAATTATTTTTGAAGGGCCAGTTAGGTGTTTGTTCCTTGCAGCCAGCATCCCGATTGATGATAAAATTGACAATGTCACAAATGGCTTCCCAAACCCATTCATGGGGATTTAATATTTGAAAAGTCATTCATGAAGACCAATATCAAAGTGGTTTCTGGGAAGACTGGGAAAGAGATATTCTTATAATGATCACATTGATACTCCTTAACATGCACAAATAATCACTCACTCAACGCCTGCCTGTGAAGCAACTTTAATGTACTAGCCACTATTTTAGGCACTGGGAATAGCAGTGAGGAAATCAGACAGAAATCCATGATCTTAGATGCTTATTCTCTCTTTCATACATACACATGCAAGTGCACATGTGCACACACATGCACAAATGAATGAGCTATCTTGGCCCACCACTTCTGAAAAGACGAAATAGGGCAAATGCTAACATATGGACAAAGTGTTCTGGCCATTAAGACAAGACAAATGCTTTAAAAGTTCTCTTTCCACAGGAGATGAATGCATTAAAAATGCATCCAAGAATATAACTTAAAAAAAAAAAAAAGGGCTCATTGTCATTACCCTTAAGTGTCCAGGAGCCAAATGCTATATAGATCCCAGGAAGGTCTGTTAGAGGTTATTAATTTTTTTTTCTGGGAAGTGACAGGATTGATTATCTTTGGCAAGAACAAGATGAACAACAGTTCAAAGCACTGAGATCAAAAAAAGCCTATTGGCTGAGATAAACCATTGAAAAACTTGCAGCTCTGAATATATGTTCACAGGCACATCAGAACTTGAAGATTCATTAGGCCCCTACATTTCGTTTGTTTATATATTTGTTTTTTATAAAAATTATAAAAATAAGAAATGCTTATGGACAGAAGTTCAAATAATATTGTCATGTATGAAGTAAATTATGAGTGCCCTCCCTCCCAACCCCCACTTCCTAGGGATCAACAGTGTCAACATTTGGTGTTTATCCTTCTAGGCCTTTGTCTATGCCCTACGAATACGTAGCTGTTGTTGTAGAAGACTTTTGTTCTGTTTTACAGAAATGGATAGTCTTATACACACTGAGCTACAATTTGCCTTTTTCACTCAAGAATCTAGCACGGGCCTCCCTCCTCCCGTGTTAGTACACACAAATCTACCTCATTCCTTTTAATGCCTGAGGAATCCACATCATGTACGTAACTATTTTTCAAACTGCTCCAAATTGATGACGTTTTTTAAATGTTTTATTTTTAACCAATTATAGCCTCATGAGAAATTGCAGAAATAGTATAGGTGCTGGGTACCATCACCCAGCTTCCCCCAGTGGTAACACCTTACATAACTATAGTGCATTGTCAAAATCAGGAAACTGACATTGGTATAATATAATTAACTAGACTATTTCACCAGGTTTTTCATGCACCTTTCTTTTTGTGGGGTAAAGGGTATATCTTTGTGACACTTCATTAACATATTTGGATTTGTATAGCCACCATCACATTTAACTACTGGATTTTTAAGGTTATCTCCAGATTAGGGTTATCTACCCACTTCAAAAGTATAGGAAAAGAAAAAAGAAGTTGGGTCAATAACACATTTCTGTTTTCTAAACTCAGATGAACTCATACGCAGCCCAGAGTGCTCAGAAGATATGTACTTATACTTTTACTAAATAGCCTTCCAATCAGCATTTACAATTATTGCTCCATAAAAAAATGAACTAAATGATACACATATCACATTTTCCTTATTTTTCTAGATGAAACAAACATGTAAAACAGTAGGCAAAATCATAAACTAATCTTAAAAGCTAGTATCTTTCCTCCAATCCAGAGTTAATATGGCTCAAGTCTCAAAGAAATAAAATATTTCAGTGTGAATAAAAAGAAATTTTATATCCCAGGTAATAAAATGAGAAATTAAAAATTTTTCCTTTATTTATCTTTCTCTGGGGATTTTTCCCTAATTCAAAAGAATGAAAATAACACACCTGTATGCTTGAGAGGGATTTATCATCGACCAAGACTAGTCTTAGGTTTGCATTACTAGCCTAATCATACATTAGAATGTTTAAAGGGCAATTTATAGTATGACCATTGGAGTAGCAGTCCCATGGGTCAATCTATTCAAGTCCCACCTTAAAATGTAGCAGTTAACAGGAGACACCTAGAAAGAAAGAGTCTAAAGCAGTCAAGGGAACAAATCTGTTGGTTTCAGTCACTGCCAAAATGGCTACATGACTTCTTTCTAACTGTGTGAATGTAAGAAGTTTGTAAGCCTCAGGTACCCCATCTGTAAAATGGGTATAACAGTAACACCTAGCTTGGGGAAGCTCTGAGAGTGAATTAAGATAGCCCAAGTAAAGTAACTAATACAGGCAGACCTCAGAGATATTGCAGGTTCTGCTCCAGACCACTGCAATAAAGTGAATATTGCAAAAAAGCAAGTCACACGAATTTTTTGCTTTCTCAGTGCAAATAAAAGTTATGTTTACACTATACTGTAGTCTATTATATGTGCGATGGCATTATGTCTAAAAAAATGTACGTACCTTAATTTAAAAATATTTTATTGCTAAAAAATGCTAACCATCATCTGAGCCTTCAGTGAGTCATACTTCTTTTGCAATAGTAACATCAAAGATCACTGATCACAGGTCACCATAACAAATAATCATGAAAAAGTTTGAAATATTGCAAGAATGACACAGAGACACAAAGTGAGCAAAATGCTGTTAGAAAAATGGCACCAATAGACTTGCTCGACGCAGGGTTGCCACAAACCTTCAATTTATGAAAATGCACTATTTGCGAAGTGCTCATAAAGCACAGCACAACAAAACGAGGGGTGCCTGTGGGGCGCATGGCAGAGGGAGCCTCAGAAAGAGGTGGTTAAGGGCTCAAAGCTTAGCAGCATCTCAGACCCATCTCCCCACTCCATTCTTCACAGCCAACCAACACTGCCTTCTAAACTCTTCCTGAAAGGTCACAAAATTTTCCTAACAATAGGTATTTGTTATAATGTTAAGCGAGGGAAAAGCATCATAAAATCATACAGGAAATATTTCTCATCTACAAAACCACAATTACAGAGCAAGAATGAAAGCGGAGAGAGAAATATTAAAAAGAAAATGCACCAAAACGTTAACAGTGACCAGTTATTCATGACAGAATTTTAGGTGGCTCCTTTCCTCCTTTTAACCTTTCTGTCTTTTCCAAATTCTTTCCAATGAATATGTACTCCCCCATCCATTCTGCCTCTTGGTTTTTCCATGGCTACCAAAGAGTTCTCCTCTAATCCATCTCAGATGCTTCTGCCAGTTTGATCTTCAAGCACCACTTTTTTCATATTATCCCCCTGGTCAAAAATCTTCAAGCGCTGCCTGGTCTCCACGACATGATGTTCAACAACCTCTGCTTGAGCCACTCCCAGCCAGCCTAGTCCCTCACTCTTCTCCAGTAATGCTTGTCTCCTTATCATGTCCGTCTATACAGGTCCCGTCCCTCAACCCCTCCTTACTGCCCCTATGCTCATCTCCTGGCCTTCAAGTCAGTCCAGGCTCCCATCTGCTGTTAAGGTCAAAGACAACAATGGTAACCACCCCCATCTGCCTGCTGCCTACCATGCACCAGCTCTTGGCCATGCGCTTGACATGCACTATCTGTCATCTCGTGAGAGCCCTTCGAGGAAGGTTCTATTATTAGCCCCATTTTACAGCTGGTAATACTGAAACACAAAGAGGTAAAGCAGCCCAAGGCAACACAGCCACAGTTTGAACCCAGGTCCGCCCGACTACCTGCCCCAGCCTCTACCACTTTCCTCTTCCCTCCTTCAACGGTGACAACCTGCATCACACAGCTTAGCAAGTGATCATGGGATTCCATACCAGACAAGATAAAAAGCTGCTGAAAATGATGAGAAGCTCATCAAGGGATTCGTTTTCATTGCCCAAAAGCAGGTTTTATGAAACGGTTGCTTTTTTCTCTGCAGAATGTGCCTAAAATTGGGGGCATAAATGTTTTTCACTTACTCTAATTTTAATTGTATAAGGGGAAAAAATCCTGTCTTTAAACAACAACAAAAAAGCCTTTTTGAATAATCACTCCTTGATTTTTTGGGGGGAAGGGATTTGATATTTCAATTTCGATCTGAAATTTCGTATGTCAGATATTTGCAGCTGAAGGCATTTCTCCCTTCTCTCATCTAGATAGTTCTCCCTTCCTCTCTCACATCTACCTGTCAGGTGTATTGCCAGCTGCTGCAGACAAACTCCTACATTCTGGAGGCATGGCCTCTTACAGACATACACAGCTCCAACTCCCCGGTGGACACATCCCAGCCACTGTCAAAGAGCTTTTAGGTATCATATTGCCACACACATCTTCAGCACCACACTGACATTAATTCTTCCACATTTTGAAAATGACTTTTTTTATGAGACACTGCAAGTTCCTTATTTAAATGCCCCAAGAATCAGAGTTTATTATTATTCAGGTGACCTAATTTTTTTAATCACTTCTTCTAGTGCAATAATGATTTCCTAGAGTTTTACTCCCCAGGAAAGCTCTACTCCCAGCTTCTGCCATCCTTTGAGATTACTGGCACTTAAAAGGAAGAATGCCTTATGACATGTACTTTTTGTTTTAAATCCAATTTTGCTTTTCATTAAAGTAAGGAGAAAAAAATAAGTGTTCTCATTTTCAAATGATTCCGTCTTGCTCATAGGTTTCAGTCATTCAGCTGAATTGGTCAAGTTCATGATACCTCTTCCCAGGAGCCTGGGCCAGCGTGTGGTGGCTGAGACTACACTGAAGATCACAGAGAATGGCCAGCAAGGTTTTCAAAGCATCTTCTGTTAAACTGGCTTGATTTAAAATCAATTTACTCAATGGTAAAAAATTCACCTGAAATATGAAATGTCCCTATTTTTCTCCTCATAGGATTTGGAAAATTTTAAATATATGCAAGACATTATACTTGCTGAAAAGTTAAAAAACAGGGCAAAAAAATAAGTTAAGACGATCCAAAATCTTGCCCTCCAGCGATATTCTGTCATATCTCTCTCCCAATTCTCCTGTGCAGATATGAAAATCACGTTTGCAATCCCGATGACACAGCATTCAAGCGCTGTGTGTGGGACTCTCCACTAAGCACTGTAAACGGACTGCCTTGTTTGATCCATGCAGTAGACTAGAAAACAGGAATTATTACTGCTCCCATTTCACAGATAAAGAAAAAAGCTGAGTGATTAGGCACAAGTGACTTGGCCTCTGCTTTAGTCTGACAGCTGTAAACAACAGAGCTGAGATTCAGATTTAGGCACCCCGACTCCAGGGCCCACACTTGAACACCAGGCCACACTACCACTTAGGACACACACAGTAACAGGTGTAACTTCTTTTTTTCACTTGAGCACATCAGTGTGTACTCCATCATGGGTCTCCATCATCTTAAATGGCCCCGCAACATTCCACTGAGTACACAGACCATAATTTAACCAATCCCCTTCTGATGGCTGTCTCCACTGTTTCACTAGCGTGAACACAGCTACACATGTGTATGTGTGTGTGTTTACGCACTCATCAAGTTATTTCTACTGGATATTTTAAAAAGTGGATTGCTTAGTCACAGTCGTATCTTTTTTTTCTTAACAGCTGTCAATATGTGTTTGCAGATACAGGGAAAAGACAGGTGGATTTGAATTTTGCTTTACTCCAAATATCCTTGTTTTGTAGCAAGGTCTCTTTTTCCCTCACAAAGAATAAATTCTCAACCATCAACGAGAAGACAACAGAAGCTTCGTCTATCACAGTTATTGCGACAATCTGAAACTGGTGTTCCACTGAAATTGCTTCTCAGTCTTAGGGAAGAAAAAGAGTATTTCTGCTATGATTCTGACTTCACTTTAATCCCTGACAATGCTTCAATTAGACAAAAAAGAAAAGAAAAAAAAATTTATAAGAGCAATTACGTATCTTGAGTTTCACTTTCCTTCCATAAAATGGAGAAAATATTATCTGCTTTACGACCTTATTAACTTATTATCAACACAAAAGGAGTGCACGAAGGTTAGTGAAGGGGCAATGAAGCCTGCTGGCCCTGGAGTCGGATTCAATGGGTTTGTGTCCAGTCACTGCCACTTTCTAGCTGTGTGACCTTGTGTAGTTATTTGGCCTCTCTGGGCCCCTACATCCCCCTCCCAGAGTTGGTAAACAAGGCAAGGCAGGAAAAGTGCTGAGCGCAGAACCAGTCACAACAGTGAGCCGTTATGAAAGGGCCCTGATTATGTCCCTGGGCACACAGGTGTAGGGCTTGTTACGACACAGAAGAGAGGAGCCCTCCTTGGTGGTGAGCTTCACACTGACGCCACCTGGCAATTACCTCGGGGGCATGGTAGGAAATGCACTGGAAGATCCAGTCCATGGCAGGCGAGTACAAGGGGAGGTAGGATGGAAGCTCCACTCCCTGGAGCACCAGCTGGTTCTGGACAGTATCGCCGTGAATCTACAGGAGACCAAATAAACACTCAAAAGAAGGGGAAGTCACATAATAAACGAATAGCATGTAACTCACAGACTGCGCATATCTGCAAGCATCTGGATGGCCCCGAGAGAAATAGCCTGGTTTCTCAGGGTTTTTTTAAACTAGAAAAAAGCACACAAAGTTTCCCATGTCACCAGGCTGAGCTGTTCTGGGAATGTGTGCTGTGCAGAGAAGTAACCTGATAAAATTGGAGCCAGCAGATGCTAAGAAGAAAGGCTGATCAACGGGAGATGTTTCCTGGTAACACATGCATATTAACCCTCTCTGCTTGTTCAGTACAATCAGCACGTTTTAATTGTGTGTAACAGACTCGAGTGTAATTTTATAGGGTTTACACATTCAAAGAACTTTAAGGCAATCTCGACTTGGAAAACCAACTGGGTTTTATGAATTTGTGATCACGTAGCTCTTACATCAATTAGCTACTCTGATTGATAGTGTACTCTTACCTGTTTGAATGTGAGGAGGAAGTCAAAGAAGTTCTTATTTAGGCTTTCTTTGAGATGTGGAGCCACTTCCATGCCCACCTGTAGCCAATCAAAATGAAATTACCTTGACCATGGAAAAACAGGTTGTAAATAACATATACAGTGTGATGTCATTTTTGTAAATTAAAAATATACATATAGATAGATATAAGCAGAGAGGTCCAGCAAGTTAACTTTTATTCTTTTTGCTTATCTGTTTTCTTATTCAATAAGCATATCTTGCTTTTATAAGAAAAACCACAGAAGCTATTTTTAATGAAAAAAGGGCAACATTTGCAGTAAACATCTTAGCAATTTCCCAAAGGTAATGAAAGTATGACTGAACAGATGACCAAGGGAACAAATCAATACAGCACTAAGGAGAAATGTACTCTCAAGATCATGTATACGATATTCTCTTCCTCTCTAAAAAATGATAAACACACATGTGGCTGTACTTATTAAATGAAGCAAAAAGATTCTGGTATGTAAGAGAGTCAGCTGGGACTTCACTGTTGCATTGTTAAAATACATGGATTCATTCTTTGCTGGGCAGTCATGGAAGCAGACATAAATTTTGATGTATTTTAAGCCGGTTTTTATTAGACAAGCATGAAGCCTAACAATGCTGTAATCCACTGGTTCCTTCGTTCATTGTTTTAAAAAGATGGTAACATTTTCAGCTGAAAAAATTTGCTAATCATAGAGAAGGTGGCCAGAGCCCTAGGGTTGGATGGAAAAGTGAAGGTCTCAGCTATGGCAGGGAGTGCAAGTATTTAAAACAAAACAAAGCATCATAATGTTCCTTAAACTGAGCTCCTCAGAATACACCTCAATTCCACACTGCTGCTTTAGCACGAAAACAACTTTGTAAGGGGAGTTGCTTTCTGGGACCTGGTTCCTTCCAAGGGGGACAGATTCCTGCCACTCACCTCCCCCGCTACCCAGAGGTCATGAAAATTCATGATAACAAGGTTTTTTAGATGTCTGTAAAGAATTCCTTTGAGAAGAATTATGCAAGATCCACTGGGGCGGTAAATTCCAAGGGCATCTCTATGGCTGTTGGGGATGCTTCCAAGGACAGGCACAGAGATTAAAAAAAAATACTAACAACAAATGTCAGATCCACTTCTACTGTGTTCTGATTCTATTGTCTTTCCTTCCACTAATCATTTTGTAGAAAAGGCAATAATTACCTGTTAGGCGACAGCAAAAAAAAGGCCCAGTGGACAAGCAGTGGAGAGGAACTGAAGGGGCCATGACTTGGGAGTTAATCATACTTTCCTTTAATAAGCAGCTTTGAGGTCCCCCCATGCCCTGCCTACTCAGTGCCTTTGTGGGGTTTTTTTGCGGTACGCGGGCCTCTCACTGTAGTGGCCTCTCCCGTTGCGGAGCACAGGCTCCGGACGCGCAGGCCCAGCGGCCATGGCTCACAGGCCCAGCCACTCCGCAGCATGTGGGATCTTCCCGGACTGGGGCACGAACCCGTGTCCCCTGCATCGGCAGGCGGACTCTCAACCACTGCGCCACCAGGGAAGCCCTGACTTTGTGTTTTGTTTATGTCTTCCCATAAAGCCAAATGAGCAGCTTGGAAATCTGCTTGGGTCTAAAAGATTTCTACCCAGAGTAGCAAGGGTAGTTACTCATGATTTCCATCTGCTGTTTCCGCCTGCCTGGCATTCATTCCCTTTGTTTCTGGAATCAGTAAAGTGGATTTGTCTTCGGGACATCAAACTTCCCTCTCAGACCAGGTCTGTGGCAGAGCTGGACCCGGCCGACCCTGAGCTGCAGGCGTGGGCACGTGACTCAGGCTCAGTCCGTAGGCATATCCCATCCCATGGCCACAGTGACTGGTCTATCTAAGGACAAGGGACCCAAGGTGGTGCAGTGAGTTTCTGCCCTGAAACTCTGGCTGGAACTACTGCGGAAAAGGCACTCTTGCCACTGGAGTTCCTAAGTCAAGAGGATGGAGGTCTTTCCACCATATGGAAAAAGAAAGCCTCAGAGTGCAGTCACACAGAGGAGAGCAGAGCTGAGCAACGAGGGAGGAGACAATTCTTGGCATGGTTTGGGGGCCCTGGGTCTGCCATGCATGCACTACCTCAGGCTCTTCAGACGCAACGGCCAACAATTTCCCCCCTTTTGCTTCAAAGTACTATGAATTGGGGTTTTGCCACTTGCAATTGAAAGAATCCTTACTAATGCACACTGTCTCCTTCTTTTTATATCAGAAGATTTTCAGTAACTACCCAACCAGGGAAATCAGTGCTCTGCCTAAATTGACACAAATGATTTCAGATACAGTGCATCTCATCACCAGCTTTCCTAGGGTGGGTCTGTAATTTCTCCTCATTGCCACTGAGTTTTAAAGTTGCATCTGTCATGCAAAGGCACGTTATATGCAACAAATATCATCTTTCACTAGGTTGTGTACCTTACTTCAAACTTTAAAACTGGAACAGGTTTGTAAGGAATGAATATTTCCACCCACTTTCTGATTTCTGTTTAATAACTGTGTGTCATAAAACACACTGAGATTCTAGATCTTTATTATTCTACTATTACTGACGTCAAGGTGAGTTCAAAGAATGTGATGTGCCCTACAAGGGGAAAGGCAGCAGAGCACAAATACACAAGTGATAGTATCCTTTCATCCCACTGCAGGATCCAGGAGCATTTTGCACAGAATAGGCCCTCAGCAAACACTGACACGGCTGGAGTGTTCAAGCTCCCGATATTCCAAAGCTGAAGCTCTAGGAAACATATCTGATATTCCTGTATGAAAAATCCACACCAAGTTTCAAGCAGATGGCAATGCGTAAATGCTTCGGCCTCGGTTACTCCGAGGGAGCAAGTGCCCTTTAATGGAAAGCTTTTTCTTTCTTTCTTTTTTTCTTTTCTCCCTTATCAGGGAGTGGACCTATAAAAAGTATCCTTCCTAAGGATGTCTGCTACTCACTCTGAGGGCAATGACTGTTTGATTTCTTTGTGACACTGGAGACCACAGGGCTTCTGTCATTTGTTAGACGTCACATAAAAGAAGCAGATCAAAGGCTACGGTCCTCGCCTTCTGATTTCTTGGCACTGGAAGTCTGGGGTTCATCAGGACCCTAAAGAACAGGGGCAATAACCCCTCTCTAAAGGTGAACAATGCCAACGGAACTAGCAAGGGGGACTCCACAGAAAGCTACCAGAGGCAAAGGCCCCACGTGAGTTGAAGAAAAACGAGTGTAAACTCTCCACAGGGTGCATTTTTCATAAATGAAAAACTTACTAGTTTTAAGTAGGAGCTTCACGGTGCTTTAAAGGAGAGAAAGGCTGAGTGATTTACAATCCTCACCAGCAGAGCAGCCCTCCAAGGCCAGGCGACACAGACCCTGATGCCCGCCATCACCAGGCGCCTCTCCCTGCCAGACAGCCCTCACCAACTTGCACTCCAATCCAACTCTTTAATACAGAGACCAAAAATCTAATAAAACAATCGAATTCAAAGACAAAGGGAAAGCATGTTTCGAGTCAATGAAAAGCAACCTATCAGCCGAAAGGCTTTGGGAGCCTCCTTCCCAGCAAGAAGGGAGAAACAATTAGTTCTGAAACTTAGTTCATTTCTAAGAAGATGACCTTAAACACCCCCTAATTAGAGTTACTGGTAAGTGGGTCTACTTTGAAATTAATTTTTAAAAGGAATCCTACAGTTCTGCTTTCTGCGAACAAGCTGTGCTCTAAAATTAGCAGCTAATAAAGTCCTTCTGCCAGTGACTGGTGAGGTGGCGGGGAGGGAGAAGCGTGAACATTAGAGGAGACAGGACACGGTCACAGGCGCGAGTGCAGGGACGCAGCTTACCCTGCACAGGTAGGCCCTGGCGTACACCGACACCAGAGGGTCCCCGATCCCTCGGACCATGCAAGTCAGCCGGGGCAGACACTCTGAAATCCCCCTGTTAGAGACAAAAAGACAGCAGCATTACACCCCGTGGGAGAACTCTCTGTTCTTTCTTTTTTTTTTTAATAAAAAAAGCTAGACTTCCTAAATGCAGGGGGGAAAATCAAGCTTCGGAACCAAACCAAGGTCAAAGTTTGTGTCTTCTAAGGCCATGTAACAAGTCTTTCTCTCTTGCCACGATTCATACTTTGAATGGTTTCTTTTATCTTTACCATTTGCTCAGTGCTGGAGTCTAACCTTCACTCTTTTCCTGCTTGAGGTCACATTTATTTTACTAATTTAACGATTTTTGTCCCCTGATTATTTTCCATTGACAGCTCACTCCTTGACCTTCTTGATATTTTCGTCGTATCCATATTCCTTTGGTACTGATTTGCGCCCTGTGCCCCGCCCCTTCCTAGCACCTGACACCCAGCACCTCAGGCTAACATCCGCATCCCCCTCAGTGTGAACTGTGACTTATTTATTCCTCCTGCCACGTGGGACTCCCATCTGCCTTGGGCATTATTCTCCCCCAACTGGTGAGGCAAAATAACTCTTTCTTCAGCACCACAGTTATCCCCACAAACTCCCCCAGGCATTCCCAGGTCCCAATCAAACACATTTGGTACACATTCTAAATCCAACCCAACTATTCCTCAGAGCTCCGTGAGTCAGCCCATGGCTTTGAGGAGTTGATTATCTAGACGGGATCCAACACCACTCAGTCTTTCAGCAGCTCTGCAGAAAGCAGATCTGGTTTCTCCCGGCTCCGCAAAACTACTCTCAGTACAATGCCTGAGGTGACCCAGAGTAGCAGAGGGCTTAGGGGCAAAGGCTTTTCCTCCTGACATCATCTTGGACAGCACCAGCAAAGACAATGAGTGAGGGCCCACGGGTGCCGCTCCCAGTGTGGTGTGTCCAGCTCACCAGACCCTCACAGACCCCTTCTTAGGGCCTTGTTCACAGAGGAGACTAGGGGTCAGAGATGCTAAGTAACTTTCTCAAGACCACACAGCTAGTAACAGCAGAGCTAGGATTCAAATACAGTTGAGCTGAACTTCCATGAGTTAGTCAACCAACTGCTCCCAGCTTGAGTTTTCTTCTCTGTAAAATGGAGATTAAAAAGCTATCTCTACTTTTGTTCATTTGGATTAAACGAGAAAATGGATGGAAGGTGCTTAACACCAGATCTTCTACACACTAAGTTCTCAAAGAATGACAGCTACTATTACATCGTCATTAGCATGTGTGTGTATGTGTGTGCACAGGCACATATGAGAGAGAAATGTTTTGGAAATGTATGGTCCCGGACTTTAAGAAGAGCCTTACGTTTTGGAGAGGAACTTGTTACACTTCAGGATGGATGCTTCCACATAGCTACAAAAACATTCTGTTAAGGAAGACATTTTCCAGATGGTCTGTTCCCTATGGGGAAAAGCCTAAACTATTCATGCAGAGAACTTGGTGTGTCTTCAGGAGAGGGGGCCACAGTGACTCTCAACAATCCAGAGAATTAAATTAGTGAGTGGCTTGTGGTTTCTATATTTGGTTTTCAAGGTTTTATATTTATTTATAATAAAATCTGGAAAACGTTGTATGCTGATTTATGGTTGCATGCTGAAATTTAAACTGGGTTTTGAGCATTCCCGATCGAGGCTTTATGGGGAAAAGGATGAAACACAGAGAACTAAGATTCCATTTGTGTATAAGTTGAATTCTCTGTCCTTCAACACTGGTGTTTGTGCAGAGAAGCTTGACCCTGTTCCTTTCAAGTTCTTGAAACCAGAGAAAACACAAAATGATGAAGCATTTTAATTGAGAAAATTAATGTGGGAATGTTCCTCAGGGAAACAAAAGCCTGGTACATGGCACTATAGTCAAAGTAAAAAAACAGAAAACTGGGGAGAGCCAGAGTCCAAGGACCTCGTGCACAATGTGGCTGGCCCTGTACTTCCAGGCTAGCAACCGTAACAGAACTGCATTTTCAACAGGAATTTCAGGGCAGCCCATTACATGGCTTCTATTAGCAGTGCAACTCTTGCAGCCTATCTTTAAAACCATCAGACAGAAAAAAAGGATACAATCTCGGAATCAGTTCCCTGATCGAAGCAATCTTGAAAAACCAATTTAAGCATGTTTCTTTGGCTGTGTCATTTACATTCTCTGGAGAGAAGTGATCTGTAAAACAAAAATATTATCTATCAGCCCCCTAATTCTTGGATCTGTTAGAGCTGCTATGAGTCCTAGGACAAAAAAAAGTTACAATGGAGCAGAAGAAGGGGTGGGGCACCCAGTCCGTCTATGTTTTTCCTTCCAAATATCATTATTATTAGGAAATAACTGGTGACAATGATAGCTGACACACAAAGGCTTTCTAAGTGCCAGGCGCCGTTCAGGGTGTATAGACATCAGCTCACCTAATCCCCACAAGAACCCTCTAAGTTATACACTTTTATTGTCCTCTTTCATAGACACAGAGGGCAAGGCACAGAGAAGTTTAGGGACTTGCCCAGGGCACACAGGAAACCGATGTAAGAGTTCCTTTTGGACCCACCGTCTGCGGTGGCACCACCGCCAATATGCAGATTTTCGTGAAGACCCTGACGGGGAAGACCGTCACTGTCGAGGTCGAACCCTCGGATACGATAGAAAATGTAAAGGTCAAGATCCAGGATAAGGAAGGAATTCCTCCTGACCAGCAAAGACTGATCTCTGCTGACAAGCAACTGGAAGATGGATGAACTTTGACCACAACACTCGAGAGGAGTCCACTCTTCATCTTGCGTTGAGACTCCATGGTGGTGCTAAGAAAAGGAAGAGGTCTTACACCACTCCCAGGCAGAACAAGCATAAGAGAAAGAAGGTTAAGCTGGCTGTCCTGAAACACTGTAAGGTGGAGGAGAACGGCAGAACCAGTCGCCTTCGTCGGGAGTGCCCTTCAGGTAAACCTGGTGCTGGAGCTTTTATGGTCAGCCACTTTGACAGACATTATCGTGGCAAATGTTGTCGGACCTATTGTTTCAACAAACCAGAAGACAAGTAATTGTGTATTGGTTAATAAAAGACATGAACTAATGAAAAAAAAAAACAACAGACGTAAGAGTTAGAATTCAACTCAGGCAGTCTGGCTCCGCAGCCTATATTCTTAGCCACTGCCTCTAATTTAATCCAGAGGTTCTTGGTGTACCCACCAGTAATTATGGTGATACTATTGAGAATTCCAGATGCTTGAGGAACCTGCAACTGTAATATTAAATGTGATCGATCAGTGTTTGTGCTCTAAATATCACATGGACCAGACTTGAAAGGTAAAGCAAGACTCTGAGGCGAGAAACCAGCCAGAGTCAGGCTGCCAGCTCAATATGGCACTAAGACTTGAGTCACTTTGTGGCAAAACTGCCACTTTCCCCGCTTATCTACTCTCTTCCTCTTTAATAGGACTCTCGTTTTCTGCTGGGCATGCGGCCATCCTTGCAGCTCAGTGTGGCCATGTGACCAAGTTCTGGCCCCAGGATATAAACAAAAGTGCAAGGTCTGGGAACTAGCTGTAAGGGAAAGGGCTTGATCTTCATTCCTTCTTCCTTCCTGCCGGCTAGAATGCAGATACGATGGCTGTGACCTCCATAACCATCTTGAACCACAAGAGCAAGACCGAAGTCAGGATTGTTGGCACCACGGGCTGGCTACCCAACTAGCCCTGATCTTCCTTACTGTGATTTTTTGTTTTCTGGCACTGACAACCAAGCCCAATCATGACATGCATCTTAATAAGGAATGGAAAAGAGCACGGAAAAATGAAAACAAAAACAAACAACAAAAGACTCATCAACACCAAGAAGGCCACTGTTGAACTCTTACATGAAAATGATTTCTTCTAAATGATTTCCACACAAATTGGAGCCCGATCCCACCACTGGGTGTGCTTTACACTTTCAGGATTCAATCAAAACAGGAGAAATTAATTACTATAGAACATAACAGATGAACATTAGCTTGTTGGTTGGTCTCATCTTGTTCAGTGGGTCATTTTTCATCCCTGATTCTACTTTCTGCTACTTGGTGGCACACCATTAAGGTGATCAAAATATCTATGGAATCAGCAAAAAGATAAAACTCTAGGTACTTCACGAGCTGAGAACAGTCACTAATCACAACGGCAGATATTTTGGAATTGCAACCTCAAGGATCTATTTTTGGACGTTCTGGCATGCTTCATTCATTCGAGAATTTTTCACTTGCCATTTTCAAAGGGAAGGGAAATTACCATTTTCCCTTTCCTGGCCTGAACCCGTGCACTTCAAAGTAACTTTTTTTCAAGTTCCAAGAGATCCAGACAGGAAAAGATAAGGGTTATTCTTAAATTCGTTTGTCAATCTTGCCTTTTGGAAAAGGGAGAGGTGGGGTTAATTTCCCTTCGTATGACCAAATCATGTGACTTGAGACCCAAAAGCAAAAATAAGTCTCTGAGGTCATCTAAGAAAAACTCTTGCTTTTCAGTTGAGGGAATGGAGTGCAGCAGCAAAGGGTGGGATGACAGGGATTCAGTCTGCCAGAGAGAGCTGGACATCACACCAAAGGCAAGTTGCCCTGCGTGTACACATTGACTGAAAGCTATACAATAATCTTCATATGCAATATAAAGGCTTCAGGCTTTCCTTCCAGCTCAAGGAATAATTCAGGAAAAGGATTATGTTATGCAGGACTTTAAAATATTATAGAAAAAAGTAAATAAACAAAACTGGAAGAAAAAAAATGTTACAGAAAACTCAATATTACATTACTTCATTTGCTCAATACAAACGTCTTAGGAACCAGCTAAAAGTGGTATTCTAGGCTCCAGGCAGATAACAGCACATAAGAGAGACCCTGCCCTAATGAAGCTTACATTCCAGTGGGGGAAGAAACATAATGAACACAGAAAGGAATAAGCATGCAAACAAGATAACATGCAATAGCAGTCAACACTATGAAAGATATAAAACTAGGTATGGAATAGAGAGTGACCTGAGTTAATTTGGCAGGGGGGATTCATTAGACAGGGTGTCAGTCAGAGAAGTCTCCTGCAGACGTAGCATTTGAGCTGAGCCCTGAATTATAAAAAGGAGCTAGCCATGCTTAGATGTGGAGGAAATGTATTCCAGGAGGAAGAAACAGCAAGTGCAAAGGCCCTGTGGTAGGTATGACCTCTGGTGTGGTCAAAGAACAGGAAAGGGAGCCAAAGTGGTGAGAGCAAGAAGGGGGGAAGCAGGCATCACAAACCAGGTCATGCGGGGTTGCAGCCTTGGTGAGGAGTCTGAGAGTTTTTCTAAGTATGACGGAAACTCCCTGAAGAGTTCTGAGCAGAGGAATGGCATGGCATGACATGACTTATACTTCAGTGCTTGAGCTGCTACGTGGAGAATGAATTCAGAATTTGGAAATTAGTTAAGAAGAGGCTTTGATGTAACCAAGACCAAAGATATTTTCCTCTAGTTCTCACTTATTTTTCTTTTATGGTGTTTCTTTTTTCAACCCTAACTTCTGTGGATATTTTAGGAGGAGGGAGGACACCAGCGACTCTAGTTCTCTTTCATTTGCCAAGTCTCTACCCTGGCAGTGAGAGGTCTCTTTACACAACAAGGCTTATAGGGGTGCCACATCACCTTAATATGTGCCTGAAAGGCCAGGTCAGTTAAGGACATTGCTTATCCAGATGCAGCTTACATCAGCCATGGAGAAAAACTGAAGATAGGAATGCCCCCAGTTGATGAGGAGGGCACAACACAATAAACCCAAGTTATTTCTCCCAACATGGAAACAGAATTGTTTTATCACTTAGAGTACATTGCCTCTTCAGCCACATGCTGGATTAAGAAATGCTGGGGGGAAACTACACAACTAGTAGCATATACTTTCCGTGAACCCAAAGGACACTGGCGTCTTTCTGAGGTCATGAGAGCTGTGCCTTAGTTAAAAGTCCTGAAGGTAAAGGGCTCAAATACTAAGTTCACAGTCTGAACTTGATTCAAATGGAAAGAATGAGTACACACGCCACCGGACTTCTCTCTCCACATAATTCCTTTGGGCAGAATTCTGCATAGTAGGTTTCAAAGCTTTCTTCATAATTACTGTTAAGAGTCATCCCCAACATTATTGATATTTTTGAGGAAAGTCTGCCCCTCTCCCTTTCAGGTTCTGGGAAGCAGAAAACACATGCAGATGAAGATTTTAACTGAAAGGGGGGAAATGAAATTATTTCCAAGAAAGCAAAAGCCCGATTCAAGGTAAAAAAAAAAAAAAAAAGATATTTTGGAAGGAAAGAATTTAGTGATAAATGTGCTAATTAGTATATATAGATAAGAACTAAAAGTGAACATGAAAGTAGCCTTTTATTCTGAATTTTTATAGTTTAGGTAGGGAGAAAGTTATTAGTAATTCTTCCTTAACTAGCCCTAAAATGTTGTTTGTATAGTTAGTGAAAACTAAGAGGAAGGAAAACTATTGCAATAGGTGCAAACACAAATGCCCTTAGGGGCCAGTCAGGTAATATAAATATTTTAAAGCAGTTAGGTATACAACAATAGGAAGAAGTAGAACCTATATGAAGAAGCATTTTAAAAAATACTGTTATAGCCAAAGAAAACACCTATCTGAGTTTATTTCTGCCTGCAGGCTAAGAATTTACTGCTGCTGGTATAGCATATGGAAGAAAAGTTGGCAAGTGTAAAATAAATGCACCCGAGTTTCCCAAATCCTTAAGTTGACAGAGAAGCCTTTCCATCAGGCTTGTCCCTGCCTCCAAGTCTTGAGAAGCCTAGAATGTGGGAGGAGCTGTTGGACATATATACACTACCAAATGTAAGGTAGATAGCTAGTGGGAAGCAGCCGCATAGCACAGGGAGATCAGCTCCATGCTTTGTGACCACCTAGAGGGGTGGGATAGGGAGGGTGGGAGGGAGGGAGACGCAAGAGGGAAGAGATATGGGAACATATGTATACGTATAACTGATTCACTTTGTAATAAAGCAGAAACTAACACACCACTGTAAAGCAATTATACTCTAATAAAGATGTAAAAAAAAAAAAACATCGCAGGTATGATGTGGTGGAGGGGAGGGTCTAGAGCAGCAGTGTCCAGTGGAAATATCACGTGAGCAGCATTCAAAAAGCTAAAACAAAACAGGCAAAATTTTAACAATTTACTTCATTTAATCCAATTCATCTAAAGTATCAGTTCAACATGTAATCAACTTAAAAATTAGTGAGGTACTTCATGGTCTTTTATTTGTATAAGTCTCTGAGGAACTTCCCTGGCGGTCCAGTGGTTAAGACTCTGCACTTCCACTGTAGGGACCACGGGTTTGATCCCTGGTCGGGGAACTAAGATCCCGCATGCCACTCAGTGTAGCCAAAAGAAAAAAAAAAGTCTCTGAAATCCAGGGTACTTTTTTTTTTATACTCACAGCACATCTCAGTTTGGACTGGCCACATCTCTAGTGTTCAAGAGCCCCACGTGACCAGTGGCCACCATATTGGATGGCGCAGGCCCAGCGCTAAGAACCAGGCTCTCGCTAGCCGGTGGCAGGCCTGTGGGCAAGTCCCTGACTCTTCCCCACTGGGTTTGCCCACCTACAATGAGACACGGTGATTCCTAAGAGCCTTTCTAACCCTAAAGGTCTGTAGAGTTCTGTCTTTCTCTCTGAGAAATGTACATATTAAATAGTTTTTAACAATATAGATAGATGGAAGGAAGGAAGGAAGGTAAGAAAGGAAAAAAAGGAAAGAAAGAGAGAAAAGGAGAGAAAAAAGAGACACAGTGAAAGAGAGCAAAAGGGAGAAAGAGAAAGGAAGGAAGGAAGGAAGGGGGAAAGAAAGAGACAGAAAGGCAAAACAGATAAACAGACAAAAAGAAAAGAGATCAAATTACGGGTACTGTCACATGCCATCTCTTCATCCTCCAGGGAAGTGCCGCTGCTAGAAGCAGAAGGAGGTGGGATGAAGGTGGAGTGAGCTTGTTCTAACTTGTACAGATAAGCGCGCTTCCTCTCAGCAGCGCTAGGAACTTGAAAGGAGGAATAAGAGGGAAAGGATGCTGTTGCTGGGCGTTCCATGCTGCTGGCCCCATCATCATCATTTATGTGACAAAAGAAATTTGTGATCTAGCTGTCCCATTATAACCTCCTGAGAGTTTAAAACTGAGTGGCAATAAATTTAATGCAAACATCACTTGGGCATAGAATGTAGATTCAAAGCATCTGTTATTACTGATTTATTTGACATTGTTCCTTAATATAAAGTTGATTTTATAAAGCAATTTGCTTCTTAGGAAAAACATATAGGAAAAATATTTAAATGTCCAGCAGCAGAGAACTTGAAGTTGGTATAAAAGTTCGGTTGAATCTAATTGTAATACCTCTTCATTCTTGCAGATTCAAATTACTTGCCCAAATCCCTAGCTGGGCTGTTGGAAAATCTAATGTTTTTTGAAGACTGAGTTGATCAGAAATCCGTAAAGGCGTTTCTTTAACTTTTAACACACCAAAACAAACAAACAAAAAAACCTTTATTTCAGGTCTCAACAAATCCTGACTTGATATAAACCTTCTAATCCTGACTTGAGGGCAGCATGAAACCCATGGAAAAGCTAAGACATTACCTGGTAAGATGCTGTGGTTATCCATACACATGGAAAAGATGCGCTCGTATACCAGCTTTCCTGGGGAGAAAAGGACATATGGTGTCAGCATTGTGCCCTTCAGCAGCAAACAATAAATTAATGTTTGTTAATTAGGGACAGAGACGGTGGCGTCTCCCATATGAGCTTCTACTTGTGATAGTATGCTGCCACCTAGTGGGGCAAATTTTTAGCCATGATTCTTTTTTAATTTTAGATTTTTAATTAAAAGAGGGGACTTTCTGCTCTAGGCAGAAAAGTGATCCTTCACTTATGCTAAGCAAAATAAGTCAGACAGAAAAAGACAAATACTGTATGATTTCACTTGTATGTGGAAACTAAAAAACAAACAAACAAAAAAGAATATAACAAAACAGAGAGTCACAGATACAGAGAACAAACAGGTGGTTGCCAGTGGCGAGGGGAAGGTGAGAAATAGGTGAGAGAGATAAATGAGTCATGGGTATGAAATATATGGTGCGAGGAATATAGTCAATAACTATGTATGATCTTTGTAAAATGACAAATAGTAACTAGACTTATCATGGTGATCATTTTGAAATGTACAGAAATATCAAATCACTGTGTTGTGTAACAGGAACTAACAAAGGTCAATTATACTTCAAAAAGAAACAAACAAACTCATAGCAAAAGAGATCAGATTTGTGGTTATCAAAGGTTGGGGGAGGGGGAATTGGATGAAGGCAGTCAAAAGGTACTAACTTCCCGTTATAAGATAAATAAGTGCTGGGGATGTAATGTACAACATGATACATATAATTAACACTGCTGTATGCTATATATGAAAGTTAAGAGAGTAAACCCTAAGAGTTCTCATCATAATAAAAAAAATGTTTTTCCATTTCTTTAATTTTGTATCTATATGAGAGAATGGATTTTCACTGAACTTACTGTGGTAATCAGTTCATGCTGTATGTAAGTCAAGTCATTATGCTGTACTTCTTAAACTTATACAGTGTTGTATATCAATTATATCTCAATTAAACTGGAAGAAAAAACCCCCAGATTGCCTGCTCCTTCACAAACTATGTGCCAAAAATGACCCACATCCCTCTAGGATAAAAATGAGCTTGAATAGATTAGTAGCTGCCCCCTGAAAACTACCCAGTTTGCCACAGTCTCCACTGCTCCCTACTGTCTCTCATCAACAGCCAGCTTCACGCACTTACGTAATCTGCCTGGTACCTAGAAGCGCTGGAATTTGAGATTCATCTAGGTATACAAGTTCTACAAGGGCAGAGAGTTCTACCTGTTTTGTTCACTGACATATTCCCAGTACCTAGATCAGTGCCTGACATACAGTGGGTGCTTCATCTTTGTTGGATGGATAGATGAACATATTTTAGGTTGTGTGGGTCAGAGATCACCATTGCAGCTACTCAACTCTGCTACTGTAGCTCAAAAGCAGCCATAGACAATAGGTAAACAAATGGATGTGGCTGTTTCCAATAAAACTTTACTTACAAATACAAGTGTGCAGTCTGGACTTGGTCTACAGGTCAGCCTAGCACAAAAAGTTTTATGTATTCTGTACAAATGTTATTTTGGAAAATGCTATCAATATTCAAAGGATAAAAGTTACAGTTCTATTCATTTTCTGGACCTTCCCAAATCACCCTTGATGTTGAAAGTATTTTCCCATGCCCATTTTCCCCCACACAACCCCACCATTCAGGGCTACAAAGAACCACACCCCTTGTCCATACGTGGAAAAAGACAGGAGAGTTATAGGATCATTTCTGGTCAAAGAACATGAGATCAAATGACATCATCAAGAAATGACAGAATGCTAGGTTAACATGCAGGAAGCCAGCCAAGCTGAGAAGAGCCCTAGATGCCTCTCCCAGTGTGGACTACTTACATTACCATCACCGAAAGACACTTGTTAAAAATGTCCATTCCTGGGGCCCACCTCAGAGCCAGTGAAAAAGAATATTCCGGGGGGTGAAGACTAGGAATATGAATTTTGAATAACCTTAATGGGAAATTCTTATACACACTCAAGTGTGAGAACCATTGATTCAGGCAGGCACTGTGGGTCTCTGAGCTGAAACTTGCCTTAGGTGTGGGAATCTCTAACAACTGCCAAAAGCCTCCCTCCTCCCTCTAACCCAGGGGTTCTCAACCTTGGCTGAACACTCAGAGCACCTGGGGCACTTGAAAATACGCTGATGCCTGCGTCTGTTCTCAGAGATGCTAATGTAAATGATCTGGGGCACAGCGTGACCATCAGAAAGAAGTGTTTTTAAAGCTCCCCAGGTATGCAGCCGAGGATGAGAATCACTGCCCCAAACCGTGGATTCAATTTAGAAGTTCCCAGGAAGCCTCAGGGACCAAGCTCCAGTTCTGAAAGCCACCTGCCTTTGTCCTCCTGGCATGAAGTAACCTGCAGTCACGGGCTCCCCAAGGCAGCCACACCTGATGCCAAGAGAGGCCTCCTCTGAGATGAGCACAGAACCCCCGGCATTGGAACTACATGCAGTTTACCTCGGCCATCACACAGCACAGCAAGCCACACTGGGCAACCATGTAACTTCTCATACCTCCTAGAGTGCGTGGACCGGGCTTAAGAGAACCCAACGCCTTTACTTCCTCCACAAAAAGCTTGCCATCTCTCCAAAACTAGCTTTCTTTTAAAAACGAAAGCACAACTTTTATATTTCACCTTCATATCCTAAGGCCTTTAACCACAAAACCATTTTTGGCCAAAAGAGTTTGGTGAATATTTGTTTTCCTTTGTTAAGTTAGTGGACAACTATTTTGAGAAATAATACCTGACCCTAGATTTTCTTTCTTGATTCACTTTCTTATAAATCAAGGACACTAATATAGATCGTTAACAACAGTGACAACAGTTAACAGTTTCTGAGCACCTTACTTTGTGCCAGCCACGGCTCTAAGCTGTTTACACTGACCCTGCCAGCTCCTAGAAGAGGAAAGACATCACGTGCTTCCTACACATTCTCTCATTTAATTCTCTCCAGAAATCCCCAGAGGCAAGGCCTATTATGCCCATTTCACAAGTGAAGAAACCAAGGCTCAAGTTCACACAACCCTGTAGGAGGAGAGGCAACGAATGCAGGCAGAGAGACGCCAGAGCCCAGCTCTGTGCTCACTGCCTCCAGGGAAATCCCAGCTAAAGCGCTGCAGTTGCAAACGCCTGGGGCCATGTCCCGCATCCTTGCCCAGCAAGACGCTCCCACCCTCGGTCAGCCTCGTTCACAACCACTGACCACCAGCAACACATGCACAATGGACCTCAGCACTCGGAGCTGCCACCCAAGCAAGGCCAGTTCCGCCCCCTTTTTAAAAGGTGAAAGCTGCTCATTAGCCCCAAAGCATAACAAAGTGTCCTCGAGCACCTGCACACGCGCAGGCTGCCTCGCGCTCCTGAGGAAAGCTATTCGCAACAGATCTGGACAAGGGCACCTCTGGGAACGCTTTGAAGAGGTAAAACATGCCCACCATTCAAAATTCAAAAGGCTGCAGGAGGTACTCAATGAAGGTTCTCTCTCAGCCCGTCCCGTCCCGTCCAGCTCACTGCTCAAGCCACCCTCTGAGGGTCTCCGCCTTTATTAGCTCCTTGGGGATCCTTCTAATGTTTCTTTAGGCATACGCAAGTGAAAACAACCAAGCGCTCTAATTTTTCCTCCTTTCTTAAACAAAACGGAACATACCCCATAGCAGTTCTGCATCTTGAGTTTTTCACCTGATAATGTACCCTGGGGATCTTTCCACATTGGAACACAGCACGCCCTCACTCTCAGAGGCCTCCTCGTCCTGCTGCATACAGACGTGCCATAGTTTGTTCAACTGGTCTCCTATGGACGGTCACTTGGGTTGTTGGATGAATTCCCAGAGGCAAAGTTGCTGGGTCAAAGGTACACGCATTTGTAGTTTTGTAGAGAGAATTTCCCCCGTAAGCCAAGTACAAGAGAAATAAAGCAGGTGCTCTGACTGCAGAGAGAACTCAATTTGGGTCCCAGCTCTGCCCCTCACTAGCCTGGGGACTTGGACAAGCTGCTTTACTTCCCTGTGCTTCAGGCTCCTCATCTGTGAAGTGGGGATAATTACAGACCCTACCTCATAGAGCTGTTATGAGGACGGCATGACTTAAGATCACCAAAGCACCTAGAACAGAGAGTCAGGCCCAAGGAAAACCCTGATTTGTTGAGGATTTATCACCGTTATTCTCCACTCCCGGCCCAGCTAATTTCTGGGACACAGCAAGGACGGCGGGCATCTACACCGCATCCTGGCCGGCCGAGGCATGGGACTGGGCCGCCACCACAGAGGCTGACAGAACGGTCGCCCCATATTCTCACAAGGTTAACGTCTGGATCTGGCCAGGCTTGCAGGCTCAAGCAATGATCTCAGAGCTAGTCTCACCCGGGGATGCTGACTCATGCAAAAGAAACTTGCAGGAGGCTGGCGAGGGAAACCAGAAGGCCAATGTGTCAACTCACCATGCGATACAGAGCTGTCAGGGTAACCAGACATAGCCACTGGCCTCTCTCGCTGACTAACATCCTCGCTCCCGGAAGGCAAGCTGGGTATGAGGACAGGTCAAGGCCCAAGGGGTATGCGATGGATATCTGTTCTGAGAGCCTAATGCACCCATCTGTCCTGGATCACCTTCCCCCATCCCCACCGCCGCCCCGGGGCCACGCCACCCTCATTTTTCACCTGGAGTGCTGCACCGGCCTCCCAACCGGGCCCCCCGTTCCACCCTCGCCCTACCGTCTAGTCTCAACACAGCAGCCAGAGGGAGCCCATTAAAACCCAAACTGGAACTTGCGCCTCCTGTGCTCAACACCCTGGGCGGCTCCTCATGCCCTCGGGCTCAAAGCCCAAGTCCTTCCAATGGCCTACATGGCCCACCAGGCTCTCTGGCCGCATCCCCACCCCACCCGCCCCCCTCCAGCCACGCTGGCCTCTCAGTTCTCCAGACCTGCCAGGCCTGCTTCCACCCCAGGGTGTTTGCACTGGCTGTTCCTTGGTCATAAGCCGGCCCCACGTTGCCAGCATACGGCTCATCTCTCACCTCCTTCAAGTACTTGCCCACACACTGACTTCCCAGCAAGGCCTCCCCCGACCCCCCCATTTAAATAAAAACACTGCCCACTTCACCCTGCTCTGGTTTGGGTTTTCTTCATCCATAGCACCAATCCTTGTCTAACACACAATCAGGTTTACTTATTTGTTCTGCGAATCCTCTCTTTCTGGCACAGCCCACGAAGGCAGGGATTTTTGTTTCTTATTTGCTGACACAACCTCAGCACCCAGCAGAGTGCCCGATGCCACCTTCCCGGATCATCTGAACCCAAAGGTCCCGTCGTTTGGCCAGGACATCTCTTCCTTTAACCCAGTTGGCTCCCATTCCCCTTTCTTCTGGCAACAGCATCACCCTTTCTCCTTTGGGGCAACCAGCTCTGGATAACCTGCACATTTCATCCCCAGATCCCATAACTGGCTCAGGGACTGACATGTGATCCAAGCCAGGCCAATGAGATGGAATTCCGGGACTTCTGTTGGAAAGCGAGGATAAAAGTTCCTTCCTTGTCCTGGGACTAGTAGCAGCAAAACTGATAAAAGTTGAGGACACCTTGTGGAGCTTAAGAATGAAGCCAACCCAAGAAAAAGTACTAGAAAAAGCCAATGTCCTGAAGATACTGTTTGAGTTCCTGAATCCAGCTATACCTGAAGCCAGAAACTACCCCGGCCTTTTCAACATAAGCCAATAAATACTCCCCCCTTTTCCACGAGGAAATGAATGAGTTAGGTTTTCTATCACTTATTCTAGCTAATACACTCAGGTCCCCGGCCTCCTGCACAGAAATAAATGGGTCTCTCTGAATGACATTTCATTTTCTGACACATTTGACCTTTCAATGGGTCACAGACAAGACTTGCCAGGTTGGGAGCCCATCGGTCCTTCCTCGGCAAGACAGCAAAGGTCTGTTCCGACCCCCTACGTGTTCAGTTCTCAGACGATGACTGTCTCCTAGTTCTTGCAGGGCACCTCTCTGCTGAACGTCATGTACAGGCTGCACGGTTTGGGCAAACTGCTAATGGCATGATGTTCTGGCCACTGACCATCACCAAGCAGCATGGAGACCTCCTGTTTCTCCAAGGGGCTCCTGGTTATTAATCTCTTCAGTCTAAACCTCTCTGCTGCACTCCCGAAGATCATTCGGCTTGAGGGGTGGAGTGTGGGACGAGGGGCAGCCACAGTGATGCAGGAAGACCTCATAGGAGCTGCAGCCATCATCCATGGGGCAGAGAACAGGGGCTTGGACTAAGGTTTTAACAGAGAAGACAGAAAAACAGACATACGGGGGAGAGATTGAGGAAGGTGAATTGAAGAACCTGGTGACGGGCTGGACATGGGGCACAGGGGAGAAGACTCAGATTTCCAGCGTGGGCACGGGGGTACATGGTGCCGCCATCCCCTGACAGAGAAACCCAGCGCGGGTGGGGAAGGGCTGGGAGGAGATGCCAGGTCCAGTTCTGAACAAAGTGAGTTCCAGATGCCATGAGCCGGCCGGCGACAGACCGAGGCTGGTCTGTATAAGACGTGTGCTCCCCAGCCTGCCTTGCTTGACTCACTCGCCTCGCTAGCCTATCAGAAGGTTAGAAACACACAATTTAAAATTCTTGCAAAAACAGCACCCGCACCTTTGCTCCCCTCATTAGAGCAGGGGAGCAAGGGTAGGGGTGGGAGTTTGGGTCTCCCTCGTGACTTGCCTAGTAATTTAAACCACAGCAGAACCCAATTTAAAGCAACTCTACCACCCAACTTCCGGCAAAACAAACGCACTTCTTAGATTTGAGATGAATAAAACTAGTACTTACCAAATGTATCAAGTATGTCGGTGATAAGGACAAATTTACTTGGGTAGAACTGAATAACACTTGTGTCCGAAAGAAGCTTTGAACACTAGAAAAAGAGAAGAGAAAAGAAAAGTCACTGTCATGTCTGACTGGGTTGGAACACTCCAGGCCTGGAAAATTAAGGATCTCCACAAACAAGTGCAAGTGTATACCATGTGCCAGGCCTGGTGCTAGTCACTGAAGGTATAATGACAAGCAAAACCACCGTGCTTTTGACAAAGGGAGTCAACTCTGCTCACAAGAGAGCCTCTTAATGAAAGGCACCATCACCTCCCTCAGGAAAGCCACGACTCAGGAATCTTATCCAGAGGGTCTGAACTAGGGTCAGCACTGGGTCACCAGAGAAGTCAACCAGCGTCCCTGCAGGTGACTCCATCTTTTCAGCATTACCTCCGCTGGTTTATTTCAGAATGGTCTTGATTCTTAAATGTTCTTTTCTATGAAATGACCCCATAGGCAAATCTCTAGGGTTTCTTAAACTAGCACCTATTATTTATACTTACTCTTAAATTTCCTTCTAAAAGGAAACGTGACAAGCTTCAAAGAGTTACATGTTTCTCTGGAACTGTGCTCTGCAAGCCAGGAACATTTTGGCTTTGCCGGGAATTCCTCAATTCCTCTGCCATCACTCACGCCAGAGGGCCATCGACGTGTTCAGGACTCATAACGGAAGATGGCAGCCACACAACGTGGCCCCGAACACCCCAGATGAAGTCATCTTGTATAATCAGAAACAAAAATCTATCTCTACTTCGAAGAACTAGAAGTAATGCCCTGAAATCTTTGCAAATTCAGAAGTCTGGATAAGGAACTAGATAACCTTGCCATATTTTAGCAGACAGGAAAAATGTCACGTTAAAAGAAAAAAACTATTTGGACATTTAGAAAGGGTACTTTCGTATGTATGCGCTTCCGATGTGCACAGAATGGCTAGAAAGTTCATCATATCAAGATGTAGGCTGACATGTGTTTTCAGTTTGGCTTTGTTACACAATATCTGAATTATTACATTCATCAAGTTTCTCCTTAGCATTATGTAACTAAAAGTAAACAATGTGTCTAATTTGTAAAACATCCTCTCATGGCCCAAATGTTATTTGGGGATTGGAGGTGAGGGGAATGTAAGCTGTTAAAACAATGGCAATGACACCAAATGTGGCATTTGGATGTACACAGAACTCCATTTCCTGACACCTTGCTTTGTGTTTTTCACATGCCCTTTATGAGAGCTCCAACTTAAACAATTAATTACCCCATGAGATTTCAGGGCTTGGAAAAAACAAACAGTTCTGAATCCTAGAGACTGTTTACAATACACAGCTCTTGGTTCCTAGGGATGTGACATCTCCTGAGTTCCTACCCAGAGCCCCTCAGAGATGGGTTACTGCCCACTGGTGAGGTGAGAGGGAGAGAGAATTCAAACAGAAGATTTCAAATTAAACACAGCTGGCGTTTCCCAACACCTGTGCATTGATTTGTCTCCCAAGCTGGTGTCACAGAACATGTATTTTATAAAGACAATAGGAAGCAGAAAAAATTTTTTAATCCAAAGTTAAAATCATAATAATGTCATAAATTGAAGTTACCTTTTAAGTCACTATTTTGAAGATTCCACAGTTTTTGTAAAGCTTTGGTGCAGTTTCCTAAACCAATAAAAATCAGGCACCCCCAGGGTATGTGTTAAAAAAAACAGATTCCCTGCTCCAAAATCAGTATTTTCAACAAGGGCCCCAGGTGACTGCTGCACTGAAACAAGCCCAGGACACACTGGGTTCCTGAGATCCGCAATCTGTACCACATTCTGAATGAAATGAGCATTCTACAAACCAAGGGTTCTCAGCTTCGGAATCATCTGGGAAGCTTTGTAAAATAACAGTGCCTGGATCCCACTCTCAGAGATTCTGATTAAGCTGGTCTGGGGTGCAGCTTGGACATCAGGATTTCTTAAAGCTCCCAAGTGATTCTAATGTGCAGCCAAGGTTGAGAACCATTGTTATAAACATTTCCTGAGCAACTAACTGATGAATTACTCTGCCTAAAATACTTGCTACCGAATTTATTAACACTGCGGAAAAAATACTAAAAGAATGCTTTTCATTTGTTTCCAATTAGCAAGATTCTAGAAGGAAACTAGCAGTTCCTAAAATTAAGTTGGAATTAAAAACCAAAAATGTGAACCAAAGCAAATGGATAAATTAAAAGATAATCTATGGTTCAGTATAAGAAAGTATGACTAGACGGATGGCTAGAAGGAAGGCAGGAAAGGAGGGAAGCAGACTAATTAATCAGAGGACAATTACTGCCCACAATATATATTTTTTAAATCCTAAAAATCAGTAAGAAAGGTACAAATAACATAATGGAAAAATGAGCAAAAGGAATCAACAAAAGGCATTTTATAGAAAAGGAAACCCCAATGGCCAATAAACATATGAAAAGATGCTCAATCTTATTATAATCGGGGAATTGCAAATTAAAACCACAATAAAATATGATGTTATTACCTCCTAAATTGGAGAAATTAAAATTGAAAGTCTGCTCATTCCAAATGTTGGTAGGCCACTGAACAGCACAGACTCTCACACCCCCACTGCTACTACAGTGCAGGCTGGCACAACTACTGCGGAAAATAACTTGGCATTGTCTGGAAAAGCAGACAAGGCACACATCCTACACCGAGCAATTCCACTTTTAGGTATGGGCCTTCATCTAGAGAAACACTTTATATGGTCACCAGCAGACGTGACCAGCGTTCGCAGCAACATCGTTCATAATAATGAAAGAAGGAAAAAGAAAAGAACCAAATGCCTATCAACAGGATGAATGATACATAATTTACGCATCAGTAGATTAACTCTGCTTCAGATGGCAAATCTCTCCAACCGATCTGTAGGGTCAGTACAATCCCTATCAAAATCCCAAAGGGTTTTTTTTTTTTTTGGTAGAAATTGACAAGCTGATCCTAAAATTCATATGGAAATGCAAAGGACCCAGAAGAGCCAAAACAATTCTGAAAAAGAAGAACAAAGTCAAAAGACATACTATACCTAATTTCAAAATTTACCATAAAGCTATAGTAATCAAGTGTGGTACTGGCATAAGGACATACCTATAGATCTATGGAATAGAATTGAGAGTTCAGAAATAAACCCTTACTTTTATGGTCAACTGACTTTTGACAAAGGTGCCAAGATAAGTATTTTCAGCAAATGCTGCTGAGACAACTGGATATCCATATGGACAAAAATAAACTTAGACACACCATACACACAAAAAAATAATTCAAAATGGACCATATAACCTAGATGTAAGAGCTAAAACTATAAAGCTTCTAGAATAAAACACAGGAAGAAATTCTCACAACCCTGGGTTATGCAAAGAGTTCCTACATACAACTCCAAAAGCATGAGCCAAAAAGGAGAAAACTGATAAACTGGACTTCATTAAAATTAAAAACTCCTACACTTCAAAAGATACCATTACGAAAATGAAAAGATAAGCCACAGACTAGGAGAAAATACAAGTAGATCATGTATTTGATAAAGAACTCGTATCAAGGATAAAGAATTACTACAACTCAACAAGAAGACAAACAGCCTGATTTTTTAAATGGGCAAGTCTTGAATAGACAGTTCACTAAAGAAGATATAAAAATGTCCAATAAACATATGAAAAGGTGCTCAACATCATTAGTCAGTAGGGATATGCAAATTAAAACCACGATGAGGGCTTCCCTGGTGGCGCAGTGGTTGAAAGTCCGCCTGCCGATGCAGGGGACACGGGTTCGTGCCCCAATTCGGGAAGATCCCACATGCCGCGGAGCGGCTGGGCCTGTGAGCCATGGCCGCTGAGCCTGTGCGTCCGGAGCCTGTGCTCCACAACGGGAGAGGCCAGGACAGTGAGAGGCCCGCATACCGCAAAAAAAAAAAAAAAAAAACCACGATGAGGTACCACTTCACACCCACTCAGATGGCTATAATCAAAAAGATGGGCAATAACGAAATGAGTGATTGAAAAGATATAGAGGAACTGGAACCCTCATACCTTGCTGGTGGGAATGTAAATGGTGCAGCCATTTTGGAAAGCAATTTGGCCGTTCCTCAAAAAGTTAAACATAAACTTACCATATGACTTAGCAATTCCACTTCTAGGAGTCTATCCAAGAAAAATGAAAATATACGTCCATACAAAGACTTGTTTGCAATTGTGAACAGCGGCATCACTCATAATGGCCAGAGTGGAAACAACTTAAATGTCTATCAGCTTGTTAATGGATAAGTAAAATGTGGTTATGCATGCAGTGGTATACTATACAGCAGAAAAATGGTACAGAGTACTGATATTACAACATGGATGAACCTCAAAAACACGGTAAGCGAAAGAAGCCAGATGCGAAAGAGTACATAATGAGTGACCCCACGGACATGAGACGTCAGGAAAGGCAAATTCATGGAGTCAGAAAGCAGATCGGTGGTTTTTCTAAGGCTGAAAGTGGCAGCAGGGTTTGAGTGCTAACGGGCTTGAGGAAATTTGGGCAGGGGGTGGGGCGAGGGCGGGGGGTGGGCAGTGGCTATGAAAATGTTCTAAAACTGGATTGTGTAATCGCTGGGCAACTCTGTAAACTTACTAAAAACTTCACTGAATTGTACATTTACAATGGTGGATTTTAGGACATGTAAAATATCCTCAATAAAGCTGAAAAAACAAAGTGAAACCTTACTGCAGAGCAAATAAGGGAAACTGCTCACTTCTCCATATTCTGTACCTTGACTAGCTTTTTTGGATAAAGAGGGCAGTCTTTAAAGTATTGCAAGTCAAACAGTTACTATTAGCTAGATGTGGAGTTAATTAAACAGTTTCATGATTATTTTCTTTGGGAAGACATGAATCAAATCTCCTCCAGATGTCAAACTCTTAGAAGTCACAGTTCTATACCACAATACTCTATGGAGAGATGTTGCCAACAAAAATATTTTGAAGAAGCTCTTGTTAGTTTAGATATTCTCTCACTTGAGCCACTCAGCAAGCAGCCTCCATCACATGCCTGCAGGATGAGAGAAACCTTCTTCAGAGTATTTGCTTTGTCAACTAACAACAGTGATGGAAGGGAAAAGGGCTTGGGTTTGCCTCTGTCATGAACACCAAAAAAATAGCACCTGCCATACAAAGTGTCATCTTAAAAGACTTCAAGTACCCAGTGTAAAGACTCCCAGAGTAAGAAAACAAATGTCACATTCCCATGACAATAAACAAGAATGAAATCTTGTCCTTCTGAACTAAAATGGCTGTTCAGAAATTCTCTATTAACTCTGCTCTGAAAAGCATAATGCTTACATTATTCCTTTTACCATGTACTTCTGAGCGTGTTTTGACAAGACGGGATGATCTTAAGAGTCAAGAAACAGAAAAAGCTGTTTTCCCTGTGGAACTTGCTCTTGTAATCCAAGAGCTGTCATGGATTAACAAATTCATCAACAAAGAGGATTCAACAAACATACCTCTCTTAACACTGTATATACATTTTCTTTGTCACATCATTATGCAGAACATGACCCCAAAATGCATATATCAGGGACACACAACCATTAGTTCCAAAGATACAAAGAAAATCTGGTCAAGGAAACCCAAAAGACAGTAGATCAATCTTTAGTCTACACAAATCATAAATGTGTCAGGTGATGTAACAGGGCCAATGAACTGCACAACCCTGGGGGGACATCAGTAATTCTGTAATCTAGGGTGAATTTCCTGGAACTGCGCAGTGCACAACCTATGCAGCTGCACATGGTGGCCCTAGGATTAGCCATCTCATAAAAACACTGATTCATAATTATGGCCTTTCACAGGAAGTACGTGAAAATAGAACGGATGAAAAAATTAGGGTAAGACCCTGAAGGCAGGCCTCTGAAAACCTTAATTATCCACAAAGGAGTTTTACAAAGGAAATTCTGGGGGGAAAAAAAAAAAAAAAATCACTCGACCTGACCTGGATGACTATTTTTAGAGCCTTCACTTTCTGGTCCGAGGCCCAGGCGTCCTTCAGCGACTGGTTGAGCTCTTCTATGCGGTTCACATAATCCTGTTGAGTCAAATTCAACAGCTCCTTTTGGGATCCCTGTGGGCAGAAAGTAGAAAGATACAGGCACAGAAGAAAAAACATTGTTGGACTCCCCCCTTGCCCCCATGAACAATACTATTAGCTGAGTTTTGGTCTCTAAGTTTTCCTCATATCCTGACCAGGATTGATAGTTCTGTCTTGTAATCAAAGAGGTTCTGAGTTTTCTTCAAAGACGGCTAGAGGGCAGTGATTGAAAAACTGGCCTTGAACACAAGTCTGACCTGAGCCCATTCCCAGCTGAGCCACATTCTAACCGTATGATTCTAGGTGAGCTGCTTTCCTCCCTGAGTCTCTTCTGTGAACAGTGATAACAGGACTTACCTTATTCAACAAATAGTTATTGGGGGGTATTGTGTGCCAGGCAAGTATGGTATACCAGATGCCCCAGATACAAAGGTGAGCAAAAAGACATTGTTTCAGCACTAATGGAGTTTAAAGTACAGAGGACAAGATGGACATTAATACAAACTGAGACAAATGCTCGGGGAAACAATTCTACAAAGACACATATCATAGTTCTCTGAATCTGAGGTGCCCGTTTTAAGAAGCACAACTGTTTTATGTACCACTAAGGAAGAAGAAGTGCCGATCACGGACATGCACCAATTGAGAGACAGAGTCCAATTTCAGGGATATTCAAATGTTGGGGGAAAGGTTCATCTCAGAATGGACTCTAGAATGGTGGTCAAGAATGGCTTCCTGGAGGAAGTGATGCTTGAGACAAACTCTCAGTGGTGTACAGGCGTTAACTAGGCAATGGAGGGTTGTCAACTAGACCAGGGAGAGAGCATTCAGGACAGAGAGCAGACCCAGCAAAAACCCATGGCAGAAGAGGGCAAGGTCATCACATGGATGAAATATTATAACATATGTAAAGACCTGGCACCACCCGGCACACAGTACATGCTCACTAATCCTTGCCTACTGCTAAGACGCTGACTGCACAGCTCACAGGAGTGAGGGTCATGCTAACCCACATGAGGAGACCAGGAACCAAATCTTTTTCATATGAATGTTGCCTGGAATCCAAAGTAAAGAACTCTTTTTTTTTTTTTAATTGAAGTATAGTTAATTTACAATGTTGTGTTAGTTTCTGATGTATAACAAAGTAATTCAGTTATACATATATATATTCTTTTTCATATTCTTTTCCATTATAGTTTATTACAAGATATTGAGTATAGTTTCCGGTGCTACACAGTAGGTCCTTGCTGTTTTTCTATTTTATATATAGCAGTGTGTATATGTTAACCCCAAACTCCTAATTTATCCTCCTGCCCTTTCCCCTTTCGTAACCATAAGTTTGTTTTCTATGTCTGGAGCCTGTTTCTATTTTGTAAATAAGTTCATTTGGATCATATTTTGGATTCCACATATAAGTGATGTCATATGATATTTGTCTTTCTCTGACTTACTTCACTTAGTATGATAAACTCTAGGTCCATCCATGTTGCTGCAAATGGCATTATTTCATTCTTTTTTATGGCTGAGTAATATGCCATTGTATAAATACACCACATTGTCATTATCCATTCATCTGTTGGACATTTAAGTTGCTTCCATGCCTTGGCTTTTGTAAATAGTGCTGCTATGAACACTGGGGTGAATGTATCTTTTCGAGTTAGAGTTTTCTCTGGATATATGCCCAGGAGTGGGATTGCTGGAAGAACTCTTTATTAAAGGAATACAAGTAGGAAGTTCAGGAAATCTGAACTGATCCCAACTGGTCACTTGAACTGTGAGACAGGATCCTCCCTGCCCCTCTGCCGTAGGAAGAACCACGTGACTAGTTTGGGCAAATGGGTGGTAAACAGAGTGGCACGTGTCCCCTTTGGGCTGAGGCAGTGAAAAGTGACCCTTTCTTCAGCTCTGCTGTGACAACCCTGGAGACATATGTTGAGATGGCAGCACCATAAGATGGTGGTATGTCTGTCACCTACACTGGACGAGTAATGTGAGGAAGAAATAAACCTTTGTTATATTAAGCCACTGAGATACGGGGGTTCATTTGTTATCACAGCACAACCTAGTCTTATCCTGACTAATATGCTATGTTAACCTGGAAGCCATGGGGCAGCCATGTGCTCCTGTGAGCGGGGGAAGCAAGGAAACCAGTCTGCAGAAAAAAAAAAAAAAAAGGAGAACTAGAAAGAGTCTGGAGGCTACACAGAAGCAAGAGACACAGAGGACAGCTGCTGGGGTTCTGGGTGGTTTTTCAGTTCCTGGTTCCAGGCCACTGTGCCTTTGGGTTCAGGGTAGTGCCCCAGTATCCTTCAATACAGTCCTTATTTTCCATGTAAGCCAGCTCAAGTGACTTTCAGATACTCAACAGACAAAAGAGCTTTGATAAAAACCCTTAGCAATTCCCTTCCTACCAGCCAAGGTTGACTGATGACATGCAGACTGAGGCTCTCGGGCGCCCTAATTCAAAATATGTCATTTCTGAATTGGAAAATAAAATATTGGACGATTAGACTCTGCTGAGCACCTAACAACTCTGGTCTTAGAGCTGGAAGGACCCTGAAACTGGGGCAAGATGCAGGACAGAGCAATGGCAACTGCCATTATAGGGACCTCTGTGGATTTCAAAGCATTCCCATTCAGCCTACACAACTATATTTTTTATCCCCATTTTACAGATGAGGAAATGGGTATAGGAAGATGAACGGCCAAGGGCACCCCATTAATAAGCGGTCAAGCTAAGGCCTCTAGACTCATAATGGTGATGGTGACAGCAGCTAACACTTGCAAAGCACGCACCACGTGCTGGGTGCTGGTCTAAGCACTCCACACACATGAACTCATGTAGCCCCTGTAATCACCCCAAGAGGCAGGTACTAGGTAGCACCCCCACTTTACAGATGAGTAAACTGAGGCACAGAGCTCAAGCTCTTAAGCACCTTGTCCCAAACTACAGAATTACCAAACAGTAGAGCCAGGATTCAAACCCAGGCAGTCTGGCTCCTGAGTTTGCCCTCTTAACCCCCATGGTATGCTGCCTCTCTAAATGATACTCCAGAGGATGCAAATTCACCGCCTCCAGGGCCCAGGCTAGTAATGTTTATGAGTGAACTGGGCCAGGGAGGACCATGCAACCTGGACAGTACGCACCCAGGTTAAATGCAAGAATGTGAGCCCACAGTTAGGTGGAATTTAAGAGAAGTCAGAAATCTGGATTTATACGTTAAATTTACTAATTTTTATGAGTTGGCAAGATTCATGTTCTTTAAAAGCACGTGCAGGCTAATTGAAAGAGTTCAGCAGCTGAGCGACCATGCATGGCCTCTGCAGCAGGCATGACCGTTTTACACTATACGAGGCGGCTTCCCGGGAGGTGGCTACCGTTGGCTTTCACAGTTAGACCCTGTCCCCAGACACCCGGGGTTTGCTCAAGCATCACAGTGAGAAAAACGCCTTCAGAAAACCAGCCCAAGGAAGGCTCCTGTGAGCTTGGCCAGCCGCGCCACTGGCATCTTTCCCTCGATCAGTTGGTGCCTCAGGAGGACTGAACACAATGCGCAGCTCGAGAATTAATCAGAGAGCAGCCACCGAGACTGACCTCACCTGGCAGAAACATGGGAAGCCCCGCCCCTCCCTGGATTCAACAACTGACTTGCTCACCTCCTCAAAATCATCCAGCTCCTCCAGCCTGGTCCGAACCTTCTCCGACATTGCGGATATGGCAGTCCCAGCTTTGCCTAAACAGAATGGATTCATGTCACACAGGTGGCTTTCCTCTGTCACCAATAGCCCCAAAGGAAGGCATCTTTCACTCTACACTTCATCATGCATAAAGAGGCTGGGGAACAACTTCATTACAGAAAACTCCCTGAGATTTTGAAAGCAACTTCCTTCCGTAACCAAAGTTTCATCAGAAACATTTCTGCTTAGGAGCTGCCCGTGGGAGTGCAGTGGGCCAGCCTCAAAAAGGTTCTGCGACACCTGATATTTACAAACTTTTCACTGAATCATCTGTTTATTCCTAAAGAAAGGCGGTCCAGAGAAGGATGCCAAAAATCCGTCATTTAATTGTTTTCCACAAACAAAAGGCCCTCTCAGGCTCATATTCACAGTGCAGAACTGTGGTATTAACAACTAACAAAACAACAATCCCACTGTCTGTCCAGAGGTGGAAACACTAGGGCTTCAAAGCCGTCTCTTCAAGCAAACAGGGCTAGTGAGCCTCCTTCCATCATCCATCAGCACAACTCTTCCCATCAGCAGGGACTGGCGGGGAGAGAAGGAGAGGACTCCAGGCCACAGGCCGGTCACAGGACAGGGCTCTCTGGCCAGCTGGCTGCTGCCCTCTAGAGCCTCCTGTTTCAGAACCCTTTCTCCATCTTAAGGGTGTTTCTGTTCTAGACCAGAGGTTTCCTTGCTCCTGCCTACCGAACTCGCTCTCAGGAACTAAAGTTTATTCTTTTAAGGCACTGCTTTCTTAGCTCTGGTGTTAACTCACAGATTTGTCTGGGATCAGCTGAGAGCATGGTACAATTATTCAATTACTAACAACTACTAAAATTAAGGAGTTTCCAAATAATTTGATTTTTTTTACCTTACTTCTACTTTTCCCTTCATTCTGAAATATAGTACAGAACATGCATATATGTACATTTTAACAGATAATCATAAAACCTTTGTAGCCACCACCCAGATTGTACACTGTCTTGCTTCTTTCATTCACCACTGACTTTAGTTCATGAAGTTTACCCCTGTCATTGCATAAAGCTCACACATTTTCACCACTGTTTAGCATTTTCCATTGTGTGACTACATCACAGTTTATTTCTTATTCTACCGTCAGTGGATCCTTGGGTTGTATCCTGCTTGGGGTTACTATGAACAATATGCTATAAACATTTCTGTGCATGTCTCCTGGTTCATATATGCATGCATTTCTTCAGGGTAGTTTCTCAAACTTTTACAGGAAGCACTTAAGGATGTGTTAACATGCAGATTCTGATTTTTACTAGGTCTGGCAGGGCCTGAGACTCTGCATTTCTGATGAGCCCCCGGTGACGTCAATGCTGCTGGTCCCTGGACCACACTTTAAGAAACATGGATTTGGGCAGAGCTGAAAAAATGCATTCTATAAAAGGCCATATATAAGTATTTTAGGTTTTGTGAGTCGTACAGTCTCTGTCACAACTACTCAACTGCCATTATAGCACAGCAGCCATAGACAATATGTAAACAAACCGGCATGGCTGTGTTCCAATAAGACTATTTACAAAGATCAAACAGTGGGCCAGATTTGGCCTCCAGGATACAGTCTGCCAATTTCTGATCTAGGGCGTATCCTAATAGTGGAACTGCTAGGTCAAAGGGTTGGCCCATCTTCAATTTGAACAGATAATGCAAAAGTGCTTTACACAGCGGCTGTGTCATTTTACACTCCCACCAGCAGCACGAGCGTTCCTGTTGCTCTACATTCTCACCAGCAAGTGGTATTGTCACTTTCTGGCCTCTCCAAACTGGTAGATAGGCAATGCTGTGATTGACTTTTTTATGGTTTGGGGTCAAAGTTATGCCCATGACAAAGGCGCTCCGACTCTCTTGATTTCTAGTGTGCTGCCCCAACCTGCAGCTGCCGCACCAGCGCTTTGCACATAAACCACAGCTGTGCCCCTCCGCACCCCAGTGATACAGCATCTAAGACAGTGGCTTCATAATCACCCAGGAGCTTTAAAAATGGAATTCCTGCGTCCCCTTCCTCAAGATTAATTCAATAAGTGGAGTGGGGCCCAGTGGTCTGTATTTTTATGAAATATATATATATACACACACATATATGTATATTCCTCAAGTGACTCTGCTGAACAGCTAGTTTGAGACGCCTTGGTCCAGACTGTGTCCTGGCACAAGAAATTGAGAACTGCCGTATTCAGGGACCAGTGGCTGATAAGACTGAGTGTGTGACTCCCCTCACCAGTGCATCTGTGTTTTCACAAGGGATAATGACTTAAGGCAAAAGAAAGGATCTGTAAAAAGGAGAATTTCAACCATTTCCCAGCCAGTGAGGAGGCACATAGATGCGAGACTACAGCTCTGTAATCCCAAAGTCAAGCACTGAGTTTCTGTTTTCCTCCTAGTAAACTCTTTGGTCTTTTTTTTTTCATCCGTCATCTAAATATGTATTTTGATTCTACTAAGTCTATACATAATCTAGGAAATAATAGCTTCAATTGAATTAAACATCAGGATTGGATGTTTTTTTCCTTTGGAAAATTATATTAAAGGTAATGGGAGAATTCCCCATCAAAACAGTAACAACAGCAAAAACTCACCTTTTTCAGATCCCATAAAAAGATTCTGCAGAGGCAAAAAATATATGTTAATATTTTTTAAAACTTACTGGACCCTGTGACAAAAACTTTACTTATTGTTCAAGCAGCACTAAGACAATATGATCCATCGTTTTCCAACAAAGCCACTTATTTATCTAAATGAAAAACAGAAATATTTATTCAAAGGAGGAAAACACAGCTCACTAGAAACTACTAGAGATTCAAATTTCTACTCATTTCAGGACTCTCAAAATGAGCCAAAAAAAAGCAAAATTTTGAGACAATGGTGGCAATGTGAAAGCATTTAGCTTACTCTAAATCAGGGTTTCACAACCTCGGCAATATTGACATTATGGGCTGGAAAATTCTGTTGTGAGCGGCTGTCCTGTGCACTGTAGGATGTTTAGCAGCATCCCTGGCCTCTACCCACTAGATGCCAGTAGCACTCCCACAGTTGTGACAACCAAAAACGTCTTCAGGCATTGCCACATGTCCCCTGGGGAGTAAAATTACTCCTGGTTGAGAATCACGGCTTTATATTAAATCAGGGCAATCAGAAAACAGTAAGAAAAAGAATTAAATAGTCCAGCAATTCTGCTTAACAAGTATAGACTCTGGGAGAAGGGAGCAGAACCTTCCTAGTCGCTACTGAGTTCACCCCTTCCTCCCTGCTCACAGCCCCGATTTTTGATGGGTGCACTGTGTACAGCCCATGACTACCTTCAAGACAAATGTAACTGGACATGTTGAGGGGACTCCAGGAAGTGTTCTTTTTTTTGGCCGCACCACTCAGCATGTGGGATCTTAGTTTCCCGACCAGGGATCAAACCCGAGCCCCCCCCCCCGCAGTGGAAGCGTGGAATCTTAACCACTGGACCACCAGGGAAGTCCCAAGGAAGTGTTCTTGAATGAGAGAGGGTGCATCCCACTTTCCCCTTTCCACCTTCTAACAACTTGGACATGAGGTCACACTGAACATGACAGAGCAGCAAGACAGAAAGAGCTGGGTCCCTGATGACTTTGGAGCTGCCACATAGTCCTGGACTATCTGCCTCTAGACTTCTTTCCAGTATGAAGAGAGACGAACATCTCTCTTCTTTAGGGAGGGCTTCAGTCACAAGCTAGACCTTGACGACATAAGCATTAACCTGCTTTCCCCGGCTGAGCAACTTGCAGAGTACAAGGTAAGCCCCGGGCACTAGCCAACAACCTGACCTAGTGAGTGCCACCCAAAGAAGCAGTGAACTCCCAGCCCTGGCAGAAAACCCACCAGTGGGACTCCCTGAGCAACAGTAAGAAGTTAACCTTCTTCAGGGTGGCACTCTCTTCCCCTCGTAACTCTCTCCTCCCCCAGAGACACGACGCTGCGGCTCCAGTTCATTGTCTGAACTGTGCCTGATCCCCGATTCTTAACACATTTTTTGAGGAACGAATTAGCACGTTTTCTCCCAACTAACATTGACATAATAACTGAAACTTACAGAACGTCGGCGTTGGGGCAACATAACTGTGATACTGTGATTTATAAGAAGAAATATGTTTAGTCTTTGTCCCAATTCCAGGCACAAAGCTCCTAACCCTTGGAATTTCCCAGGTGAGAGAACAATCCAGGAGGCTTCTGTTCTTTTTAGGAAGCACTCTCCTGTGATTTCTGGAAGCACCTAAGGATGGAGGCTGGTTGCCAGGGGAACCAACCACGTGATTAGAGGGTGGGAACTTTCAGTCCCACCTCCCTGATTTCTGGGGAGGAGCGAGGGGCTGGAGGTTGAATCAATCACCAGTGGCCAATGATTTAATCAATCATATCTATGTAACGAAGCCTCCATAAAAACCCGAAAGGAAGGGGTTCAGGGACCTTCCGGGTTGGTGAATCAGAACACATCCACATGCTGCCGTGCTGGACCCCAAACTCCATGGAAACAGACACTCCTTTGTTCAGGACCTCACCCTAGGTATCTCTTCATCTAGTTACTGGTTTATAACCTTTAATATCCTTTGTAATAAACCAGTAGTCTAGTCAGTTCTGTGAGCCACTCTAGCAAATTAATTGAACCCAAAGAGGCGGTCATGGGAAACTCTGATTTATAGCTAGTTGGTCAGAAGCCAGGTAACAACCTGGACTTTTTTTTTTTTTTTTTTTTTTGTGGTACGCAGGCCTCTCACTGTTGTGGCCTCTCCCGCTGCGAAGCACAGGCTCCGGACGCGCAGGCTCAGTGGCCATGGCTCATGGGCCTAGCTGCTCCGCGGCATGTGGGATCTTCCCGGACCGGGGCACGAACCCGCGTCCCCTGCATTGGCAGGCAGACTCTCAACCACTGTGCCACCAGGGAAGCCCAACCTGGACTTTTGATTAGCATCTGATGTGGGGACTGAGCCCTTAAGCTGTGGGATCTGGTGCTCTCTCCAGGTAGACAATGTCAGAATTGAGTGGATTTATAGGACACCCCACTGGTGTCAAAGAACTGCTTGGTGTGGGGGGAGCGAACCTACACACTGGAATCGGGTGCAGAATCGTAATAACAAAAAAAACCTACGAAATCTGAAGTAGACACTGGGAGAAAAGTATACTGGTACTCACAATAGAGAGCTTTTCCGTGGTAGTATACCGGGCAAGGATTTCTCCTCGTTTGCTGGCCCAAGGCTCAAAATCTGATCCTACAATGGAGTTATCATCTCTGTCACGTTTCTTTCTGGAGTTGTCCTAAGAAAAGGCAAGACAATCTCTTCAGCAGCAATTTTTAAATCTTTAAAAAAAGTATACGCAGTCATGGTGATGACACATGATAACATAGTATTGTATAAGTGAAACTGCTAAGACAGTAGAACTTAAATGTTCTCATCAAAAAAAGGGTAAGCATGTAAGGTAATGTATGAGTTAACTCAATGGAGGAAATCCTTTCACAATGTATATGTGTATCAAAGCATCACACTGCACACTTTAAATATCTTACAATTTTATTTGTCAATTATACCTCAGTAAAGCTTAAAAAAAAAGTATGAGAAGGCAGACTATCCCTCACTGTAGAATGTAACAGATCTATCTAAAGGTTTACTATGATAAAAAAATTTCAGGCCAATTCACCACAGATGGACAATAAACCTATCAAAAGATGCTCAAACTCATTAAGAATCAAGGAAAGGCAAACTGAAAGAGATCACTTTTCAACAATCAGAATGGCAAGATTTAAAATGACTGATAGGGCTTCCCTGGTGGCGCAGTGGTTGAGAGTCCGCCTGCCGATGCAGGGGACACGGGTTCGTGCCCCGGTCTGGGAAGATCCCACATGCCGCGGAGCGGCTGGGCCCGTGAGCCATGGCTGCTAAGCCTGCGCGTCCAGAGCCTGTGCTCCGCAACGGGAGAGGCCACAACAGTGAGAGGCCCGCGTACCGCAAGAAAAATAAATAAATAAAAGTAAAATAATATAAAATAAAATAAAATGACTAATAGTAGCCAGGTTGGCAAGGATGCAGGGCACAGGCACTCCAAAATACTGCTATGCTGATGGGAGTGTAAATTGGTGAACCCTTGCTGGAGAACAATCTGGCAGTAACCATCAAAACCTTATGTATATGGGGACTTCCCTGGCGGTCCAGTGATAAGAGACTTTGCCATCCAATGCAGGGGGTGTGGGTTTGATCCCTGGTCGGGGAGCTAGGATCCCACGCCTCAGGGCCAAAACACCAAAGCATAGAACAGAAGCAATACTGTAACAAATTCAATAAAGACTTTGAAAATGGTCCACATAAAAAAAAAAAACTTTATGTATATGCTACCTTAACCCGGTAATGAACTCCTAGGAAGTTACCCTGCAGAAATACTTGCACGTAGGCACCAAGATCTATGTATGTTCAAGGACAAATGCGCCACTGCCTATACCAACAAACACCACACACGGTCTATGTGTCCATCATGGCAATTTAAATCATGTCCCTGGGAATTCCCTGGCGGTCCAGTGGTTAGGACTCTGGGCTTTCACTGCCGAGGACCTGAGTTCAATCCCTGGTCGGGGAACTAAGATCCCACAAGCCGAGCAGTGCAGCCAAAAAAAAACCCAAACTCATGTCCTGTTCCTTACCATACAATGCAGCTGTTCAAAATAAGAAGGTTGTTCTGTAAGTACTAATATAGAAAGTTCTCCAAGACATATTGTCAAGTTAAAAAAAAAAAAGTATACATGTTAAAAAAAAAAAAAAAGGTAAATAGCTGTGTGCAATGCCAGCAAAGAATGATGGTGGATTCTGAAGTCAGACTGCCCAGGCTTGAATTCCAGCTTGCATGTCACGTAACATCTCTGCTCCTCTGTGTGTACCTCTTTAAATGAAGCTTAGGCAGTATGAGAACTACACTTGGAATGCACTTGGAAAATACCTGCTACGCATTTAGCTGATACTCTTATTACTGCTGTTGTTGTTACTTATATGTGAGTATGTATGTAAATGTTCAGAAATTGTTGTCATAAATATCTATGAAAATACAAAGAAAAAGTTGAAGAATATACATTACACTGATAGCACTGATGCCCTCCAGAGTGGAGAACAGAATGAGAACTGGTCAACTGGACTTCTCTGTAATGTTTGATTTTTTACATGAAAAATTAGTAAATTAGTTATGTGATTACATAAAAATAAATCCAAAATAAAGGGTATGAAAAGGGTGAAATGAAAATAAAGAATTTTAAAATGCTTTAAAACGAAAGAAGAAGCAGCAGCAGTTTCCAGGATCTACATGCTATGCAGTGTCACTGAGTCTGGATTATTTGAATTGTTACAACCCGAGTGCACTGCGTATTACTTGTTCAATGAAAATCCCCAACCCTGCACTCACAGGACTGACCATAGCTAGGAGCATTACCGTGGTAGCCGCCAGGGCTGCAGGGTCAGCAGAGGCCGCAAACATGGAGAGGGGGTCGGTCCCATCCAGGACGCTGCTCAGTGGGTCCACCACAGAGCTGGAGGATGAAGAGGACGTGGAAGAAGTGCTTCCTTTCCGGCTCACTTTCTTTGTCTTTGACTCTGTGACCTGTGGGGAAAATCTGTGGAGGTAAAATGGTAGTCTCCTATGATTTTTCCCAATGAAACACACAAATGGGTTTTCCCTTGTTCCGTTTTGAACTGACCATTCCTTTGCAGCAGGGACACTTATTTTTGTGACAAACTGACATGACTCGGAATCCCAGCTGTCGAGGAAGGGAAGGTGAGAAATTGGGGTTAGGAAGGGAGAGACAGGGTCTTTGAGATTTAGAAGATGATGCTATAAGTGAATTCTTACAGGGCCTTCTTACTCAAAGTGTGGTCTCTGGACAAGCCGCATGCACATCACCTGCCAGCTCATAAATCTGTAGACCCCCGAGCCCCACCCCGGACCCAGTGCAGCAGAATTTGCATCTTGCAGCAATGGTCTAGGTGGGGTAACGAACCAGCATACGGAAGATCCCAGAGTCGTCATTCTCGAAGACGGTCTCAGTGGCTCTGCGCGGCCAGCTCATCATCACAAAGCAGTGAGCGCCCAACTCCTCCCTTTCGGGAGAACTGTGTATGTGTTAAGAAGCAGGCGGGGGCGTTGGGGTGTGAAGCCATGTTCTTGTTCCACTGCCCCCAACCCTCCCCAACTTCAGAGGACCAGACCGTGGTGAACCCCTGAGCCGAGAGGATCCAACCAGAGCCAGAGTTTGTCTGCTGAAGGTTTAGGATCAACATCCAGAAGAGCTAGTTAGGCTCCACTCCTTTTTAAATGAGGAGGCTATAAAAACCCGGAACAATTCTTCAGAGAGAGAGAGGATGTAACAGCATGACGGAGAGAGGGCGTCGGATAAAAGAGAATTTGGCCTCTGTCCCCGGTTCCTGGAAAGGAGACTCCAAGTCCTTGGAGCATCAGTCATTCATGAGCCCCTCAATCACACCTGAGTTTATGCTGATGAGAGGATGCTGAAAGACCAAACATGTGATTAAAGGGCTCGGACTTTCAGCCAGGTGATAACCCTCACTGTAGAATATAACAGATCTGTCTAAGGTTTACTATGATAAAAAATTTTCAGGCTAATTCACCACAGATGGACAATAAACCTATCAAAAGATGAAAGAGATCTCACTTCAGCAGAGGGGAGGGAAGCTGGAGATCAAGTTCAATCATGTGGCCAAGGAATCAATCAATCATGTGTGTCATAAAACCCCAATAAAAAGTTTGGACACCAAAGCTCAGTGGAGCTTCCCAGTTGAACACATGATGCACTGGGAGGTGATGCACACCCTGACTCCACAGGCAGAGGACAAGGAAGCTCTGCATTTGGGACCCTCCCCCTTGCCCTATATGTCTCTTAATTTGGCTGGTCCTCATGTGCATCCTTTATAATAAAAATATAAGCATAAGTATTTCACTTTTCTGAGTTTTGTGAGTTGTTCTAGTAAATTATCAAACCTGAGGGAGGTCTCTGGAAACCCTTGGATTTGTAGCCAGTTGGTCAGAAGTGCAGGTGGCCTGGGGACCCCCAAATTTACAGCTGGAGTCTGAAGCTAGGGCAGTTTTATTGAAGACCATGCCCTAAACCTGAGGGGTCTGACACTAACCCTAGGTAACTTGGTGAAGTGCCTCCCACTGGTGCATGTTTGTTGCTCCTGTCTGCCTGGCATCCATTCCTCCATCTCCCAGGCTCAACAGTCCACATCTTCTTTGGGAAGGCAGCCTTGCCTGACTTTCAGCTCTTAAAGGCCTGCTAGAGTGGACTCTGCTCCTGGCTCCCAGGGTGGGCAGGAGCCCAACCCAACCAATCAGCATATTCTACACCCCAGTCACCAGGGTTGATTCAGGGAAGGACACGTAACCCGACTGGGCAAACAGAAAATGCAGAGAAGACACTCTCCCTGATGTTGGGTTTGAGTTCCTGAGATTGGAACCAACTCACTGGTGGGTCAGCCGCAGCCACTCGAGCCCGTGGGGATTTGAGGGGCCCTGGGAGGCTGAAGCTTGGTCTTGTGACCTCCTGCTTTATGTAATCACCTCTGTGTGTTCTCAGGTTCTCTGCCATTCAGAAACGTCACGTCCTCAGTGTCTAGTGGCATCTGTCAACCTCATCCCACCCATGATGACAACCACGTAGCTTCTATTACTTGTTAATAAAAAAGTGCTAACTCAGATGAGACAATCTATGACTCTTGCTTGCCTTTTGTTTTGTTTTTTAAATAAACTCACAGATAGACTAAGATGCTATTCAGGACAGCACCTTATATTAGTAATTAGAGTGATCTTAATATTCCAAATAGGCAAATTAAGAAGTATTTTGTTTACACCTCCAAATCAGGAACAAAGGCATCACATATGCATGATCACCTCACTAATATGAGACAGGGAATAAAAATGATGGTGGGTGAGACCAACATCACAAAAAAAATGGGGCAGAGAACAAACTGGTTGATTTAAATATGCAAAAGCACCTACCACTGGCAAAATGAGAAAGACCCAGGAATACTGTCTATAATTTTACGGAATAAGAATGTCACAGAGAGACCCTCGACAAAACTTACAGTTATGGGTTTCAGTGGGTGATAGTCCCCAAATTCCAGTGGTACAGCCTCCAACCGGCATGATGCAAACTCAGCCTTGTAGTTCCTGTTCCTGGAATGCCTGGTAAACAGCAAAACCCAGAAACCAATTAGTTGGAGATGCATACACACTAAAAACTTTTTGCTGAGACTTCCTCATTGATGAGACAGTTTACAGTGGAACAACATTTTTACCAAGACCAATAAGAAGTGGTAAATTTAAAAAAACATTTTTAAAAAAATCAGTTTGAAGGTATGAGGAGCTGCCGAGGCAAACAAGACCTGCGAGGACAGACGCCAGAACAAAGGGAAGCTCACTGAAGTGAAGCCAACTTTCTTGCCCAGCTATCTCTCACAGAGCATTTTGATTCTTGGCATGGGACAAGAGCCAGGCAGAGGGCAGCTGCTAGGGTGCAGAGTAGCCAAAGAAGCTTTAAGGAAAACTCACAGGGCTGTAGAGATAAACTAGGGTTCAGGGCTATGGAGACAGCCAGGGCTTGAAGGAAGAGATTCTGAAGAGAAGGCAGTGCAGAGAAGTGAGAGATTCGGTCCTGGTTTCCCCTCAAAGTATTCTCCAATTAAGCTGTGGAAGAGCAAGAGGAATAAGCCAAGTAGATGAAGAGCAGAGAGTTTTCATCAGTCTTGCGGAGGCTTAACAAGTGAAGGGATTAGTGAGAAGGAACATAAAAGGGGAGAGATCACCCACATTGAAGCATGGAGAGGAAAAAAGATGAAAAGCACGGAAGAGTGCATAAGGGACACGAAGAAAGGTCTAACACACATACGAGCTGAATTCCAAAGAAGAGAGGAGGAACAGGCAGAGCAGTATTTGAAGAGATAATAGCTAAAAATTTTCCCCAACTAAAGAAAGACACTGATTCGCAGATTCAAGAAACGCCTGTGCCCCAAGCAAGACCAGTACAAAAACAAAACAAAAAACAACCATACTTAGGGCCTTCACAGTAAAATGGCTGAAAACGGAAAAGAGAGGATTTCTTAAAAGGAATAAAGATATGTTATTTTCAAAGGACGACAGTAAAGGCTATTATCTCAGCACAGAAATGAGAGCCACAAGACAAAGGAATGATACCTTTAAAGTACTGTAAGACAATAATTCCCAACCAAGAATTCTAGACCTAGTGAAACTACTCGGTGAACATTAGGGCAAAAGAAAGAAGTTTCCAGTCAAAGAAAAAGGAGAACAGCAGCACCAGCAGCATTTTTAAATGCTGAGAGTAGAAGGAAAGTGACCCCAGCTGAAAGCAAAAGATATATGCTAACATTATATATATATATATATATGCACATATGTGTGTACATATGCACATATACTATATAATACTAAAGAGCATACAAAAGATAAAGGTGTAGGTAAAATTAAATATCGACTACAAAAAATAACTTCTTACGGTGTTTAAAATATATATAGAATTAAAATGCATGAGAACTAGAACATAAAAGGCAGGAGAGGTGCTACGATCTGAATGTGTGTCTCCCTAAAATTCACAGGTTGAAATCCTAACCCACAAAAGGTATTAGTAGGTGGAGCCTTTGAGAGGTGCTTACATCTTGAGGGTACAGCCCTCATGAATGGGATCAGTAACCTTATAAAAGAGGCTCCAGAGAGCTCCCTAGCCCCTTCCACCATGTGAAGACACAGTGAGAAGGTGCTGGCTGTGAGCCAGGAAGACTGCCTTCACCTGACCATGCTGCTGCCATGATCCTGGAGTTCCAGCCTCCAGAACTGTGAGAAATTAAATTTTGTTGTTTATAAGTAAACCAGTCTGGGGGACTTCCCTGGTGGTCCAGTGGATAAGATTCTGTGCTCCCAATGCAGGGGGCATGGGTTCGATCCCTGGTTGGGGAACCAAAAAAAAAAAAAAAAAGGAAAACCAGTCTGTGGTATTTCATTACAGCAGCCCAAACAAACTCAGACAGAAAATTGGTACCCAGAGCAGGGTGCTAGTATAACAAATATGGAAGCAGCTTTGGAACTGGATAATGGGTAGAGGCTGGAAAAGTTCTGAAGTATGTGCTAGAAAAAGCCACTACCCTGAATGGACTGATTATCCAGTGATTATTGTGAGGGCTCAGAAAGAAGAGAGGAAAGCTGTAGAGAAAGCCTCAACCTTCTTAGAGAATACCTAAGCGGTGGTAAACAGAATGTTGGTAGAACCGCAGAAGGTAAAGGTCATTCTGATGAGGCCTCATACAGAAGGAGGAACAGCTTTTGGACAATGGAGGAAAGCAATCCTTGTTATAAAGTAGCAAAGAGCCTGGCTGAATTAGTCCGTGTCCTGGTGTTTTGTGGAAGGCAGAATTTGTGAGCCATTAAATTTGGATATTTGGCTGAAGAAATTTCTAAACAAAGTGTTGAAGGTGCAGCTTGGCTTCTCTTGAATGCTTACAGTAAAATTCAAGAAGAAATGACTTAAATTTCAATTAAGAAATGACTTAAAGACAAAATGGCTGACCAAACGGCAAACAGGTTTAAAAACCTGGAAAACTCTCAGTTTCAAAGAGCACAGGAAGCTGGCCCCTTTGTTTCCTTGGCCTCCAGATGTCTTGAATTCATCCCTTCCATGCCCCCCCCATTCCCACCCCCATTCTCAGCTCCTTGACTTCATTAATTATGTGTATGAACCCCAAATCTAATTGTGCCGTGCAATTAATCAGCTTTACTCAATAAGCCCCACCTACTCAGACATCTAACACAGTACAAAAGAACTGAGAGCCCATGTAATTTCGCTTCCATCCCTTTCTAAATAAATTTCGCTTCGAGTGTAGGAAAGGAGAAAAGCTAGTTAACGATATAGACCGGCCTCTACTTGTTTTTTGTTTTTAAAGGAAAACCCCTACCACAATACACTGCCTAGTCCCTTTGGGTTACATGTACTAAATATATACTGTCTTCATCTTCCAAAAATATTTCAGTTGAATTCATTTATGAAATATTCTTTTAATATGCTACCAGCCAATCCTTGATTTATAAAACAAACAAAACCCCAAAGGATAAATTGGAAGTCTAGTCATCAACAGCCATAATGGAGTTTAAAAAATCAACTTATACTTTTCCTCCTTTCAGATCACTCTTAACTTTATCAATAGAATTTTGAAAAGTTAATTTAATAGAATGAGTAGAAATGTAATCTGACTTGAAATTCAACTGCAAATGTGTTGTTCATCACCATAATAATTATTAACGAGTCAACAGCTAAAAAAAGGATAGTATCAAAAGAGCAGTATGACTTGATACACAACAACCAAGTATCAGTTCTCATTTATTATGTGCTTATTATTGTTGGGGCCCACAGAGGGCCACCCCCAAATATGGCATATTGATTATCTTGAATTAAAGTTACTTAAGAAACTTAAGGAAGAGCTGATGTAGAGGGACACTCTGACCCTCCTCTCTGTCTCCCTGAAGGCAGGAAATAAGTCTCCCCTGTGAAAGGTGCCCACCTGCATCTGGAGGTAGAAGGACACCCTTGTCACCAGAGATGGGGAACTCAGGGCCAAGAAGCCTATATAAATGAACCTTGTTATTTCTTTAATACCACAAGCCTGCTGTTTAGATTCTTCACTAACTAAGCACCCAAAGCCCAACTTTCTTTGTTCTGTCAATTCCTCACAAATCTAGTTTCTTTGTCTAAAAAGTATAAAACCTGCCTGTTTCAGCCACTTCTTAGGTCCTGTATCTATGAGACCTCCAGAACACACAAATTAAAATTTGTTTCTTTTTCTCCCATTAATTTACCTTGTGTCAATTTTATTATTGGTCCAGCCACAAGAACTCAAGAGAGTAGGAGGGGGAATTTCCTCTCCCTGACACTATATACCAGGATACAGGACAAGCCCTTTACCTCTATTTCCTATGAGGTAGGTACTATGATTATGCCCATTTCTCAGATGGAGAAGCTGAGGCTGTTGGTAACTTGTGAGAGGTTAGCAAGTGATACAGACAGATGCAAACTGAGGCAGCCTGCCTCTAGGATTCAGTAGTTCTACAGATCATCTATAGGTCAACTTGAGAATTTGAAAAAGCAATTGTCTTTTTTTTTTTTTAAGGACTGCGCTTTGAAATGATTTTTTTTTTTTTTTAAGTGTGAGGGGAGGGAATTCTTTGGGGAAAAAATACTTGTTCTGGAAAAACCTTTTAAAAAACAAAAGGGAAGGAAACATTTACCCTTGCCGTAAGTTCATGTCAAGTTGCTATTTCGAGTTTTCAACCATTTCTTCCATTATTTCCTCAAATTTGCTCTCAGTTCCCTATAGGTTGAGATGTTAAAAGCGTTTTCTTCAATGCCTGGATCTTTAGTAAGGCTAACAGTGACCTCTAGTGGGCATTTTCTCAAAGAGCCTTACTCTTCTTCCCGCGAACACAGCTGGTAAGCTGGTAAAAATACCCCCAACTCCCAGCAATGCGAAAGGGTGGTCTGGCTCCTTGGCAGCTGCCACAGAAAAAAGGCCAACATTTCATACCTCCACTCCCAGCTTGGTCTGGCCTCTGGCTACTCCAAGTGTGACTCACAGATCACCAACAAGAGCATCACCTGGGGAGTACTGAAATACCCCTACAGAATCAGGGTCTGCATTTCTCCAAAATCCCCAGGTGACTGATATGCACATTAAAGGTTGACACTGCCCTATTTTTAAATTATTTACATTGGGTAACATGAATGTGTAGAAATCCTACTACCAGTTACCAAATTAATCTCCTTATACTGGAAATACCGAAATCCAATAACTGCTTTTTAATTCTCAAGTGACTTTTTTTTTTTTTGGATTTGCAAATACAGTTTATTTTACAGAAATTCAACATTATAAACAGCAGGCACCTCCCAGCCCCCCACTCCCCTCCCCCCAACCCGTACCACTGGGTGCAGACCATGCTATGCAGAGTGAGCAGTGACGCAGCCCTACTGCTTTGGAGGGAGATTCGAGAGCGATGGAACCTGCCTGCACCACGGCCTGCCTGCCCCACACACGCACGCGCCTGCCTGCCTCACAGGCCACCAGAGTCTGTCTGGGCCCAGCCCGCGCTGGACCAGTTAAATGCATCCAGCCCAGGTCTCCAATTCCTTCATGTCGTCGTCTTCCTCTTCCTTCTTCTTGGTGGGTTTTGATGGTACGGATATAGAAGGAACATTTGGTAGAGGGACTGTTTCCGGTCCACTGATTTCCAGCAAATTCTTGTCTAGTTCCTCCTGTTCTAGTTCTTCTAATTCTGCCATGAGCTCATCCTCGTCAAACTCTTCTCCAAACCCTACAGGTTTTGAAATAGCTGTTGAAATCTCTTCTGCAAGTTCCTGCTGGTCAGCAATGTCCTGCATTAACTCATCAACTTTATCGATGTCCATGTTGTCGTGGGCAGCCTTCATGGCTTTGGCGGCATAGCCCATGTTCTTGAGCACCTCGGTGTTGGTGTTAGCATTCTCCAGGGCCTCTCGCTGGAACTCGATGGTTGACAGTGTGCCGTCGATCTGTGCCAGCTGCTTTTCATACCTCTTCTTGCGCTTCAGTGCCTGGAGGGCAGCGCGCTTGTTTTTGGTGCCATGCTTCTTGGCGGCTGTCAGCTCCTGCTCGATCTTCTTCTCCAGGAATTCCTGTTTCTTACTTAGCATCTCCTCCGTGTCCCGAAGCCTCTGGATGGCCTCCTGGGGGGTCGGGCCGCCCTTGCCCTCAAGTGACTTTTTAATTACTAATGACATAATCTGGCAACACAGTTTTTTATCCCCCAATCACAATATACTCCCCCTACCCAATAGAGTCTCAAAATGATGTAGAAATTCTGACTCCAAAGAATGGTATTTTTAACAGTGCTATGACCATAGGACTGAACAGGAAATGTAATCCACAGTGCACTGGACATCTCACAGGTGAGGTCAGTAATAACAAAAAGTGTGGGTGAGAAGAGGCATGCTGGGGAGACCCATGACAACACAGCAGGACCCAGGAACCTTGCTACCCAGGAATCTCAGCCCAGGACCTAGACTGTAGGGCCATATAACAATAATGATTAAGATCAGAGGTTTGGGACTTCCCTGGTGGTTCAGTGGTTAAGAATCCGCTTGCCAACGCAGGGGACACGGGTTCGATCCCTGGTCTGGGAAGATCCCACATACCGCAGAATAACTAAGCTTGTGCACCATAACTACTGAGCCTGTGCTCTAGAGCCCATGAGCCACAACTACTGAGCCCGTGCACTGCAACTACTGAAGCCCGTGTGCAGCAACAAAGACCCAACGCAGCCAAAAAAAAAAAAAAGATGACAGGTTTGAGTTCCAAACCTCAGTGCTCCTTGCAGGCTATAAAGCTAAATGAACTGCTTCATCTTTCTGTCTCCACTTTCTTATCTGAAAAATGGGGTTTTTAGGAGATGAGATGTTGCACGTTCAGCACTTAGCACAGTGCCTGGCACAAGATAAAGGCTCGATAAATGGCAAATTTAATGACAGAAACATGTTTCTCCTCTGAGGGCCTCCTCAGTCTCCTCATTCATTCCATAAATATTACTCAGCACCTACTATCTGCCAAGCTCCATGCCAGGCTCTGGAGATACAATGATGGTTAAAACTCAGCCCCGTTAACTTAAGAAGCATCAAGTCTAGTGGGCAAACTGAAAGATGAACACACGCTACCACAGACAGAAATGTTTAGAGCACAGTCAGACTAGGAACTGTGGAGACCCTAGATGCTAAAGGGCTTATGGCATCTCTCTCTGTAAAGTATACCAAAGGTAAAAATGCACTGGGATTAAACAGCATCTTCCTGGATCTCTGATTACAAAATTCCAGCCAGATAAGTGCATTGAAGCTATATGTTTTGGTATATAAGCCTTAGTGATTTCCTAAAAGGGGTTTTGCTTGACTAGGTCAAAGAAAACTCAAGGCAGGTCATATAAGAACTCACTGGCATCCAATCCTGATTTAGCATACCGAGACTTTTGAAGGAAGACTCTTTGAGTTAGACATGTGAAGGGAACAAGAGAAAGACCGCTGTTTATCAAGCATAAAATCAGAAGTATGTATCTGATTATTTCTAAGGTCCAGGGCTGTATATTTTTTCATTTGCTCACTCACTCACTCATTCAATGTAAACCACTTTGCATCATTTGCAGAGAAAGATCAGAAAATAATCTCCCTTTCTCAGGTGCCCAAATAATTCCACTACTACCATCACAACTTGCTCCGGTTCTTCACACACCCGTAGCAGCAGCTGGAGCCTGAAGCGCCAATCACTCCTAGCTACTCCAGCCACAAGAGGCCGACAGGCCCAGCCGCCTTGGAACGCGCCATTAGCTTCTTCTTGATGACCTCCTATTCATCCTCCAAAACCCAATTTAAGGCTCTTCCTCTCTCAAACCTTCCCCAAGCCGCCAGGTGTGCCTAATCCCCAATGCCTTCTTTGGATATCCTTCTATTCAGAAGTTTATCTGCTCCACTAAACTGTCAGCTCCTTGGGGCCAAGGAGTACGTCTGAGGGTTGTGTATCCTGAATGCCCAGTGCAGGGCCCTGCACAGAGTAGGATGAATGGCAGCCATTTCACAGATGAGAAAAGCAAGTCTCCTCTAGGTGAGCCCAGTCATTCAGAAAACTGCCAGGTCTTCCGAGTCGTCCAGACCAGAGGTGAGCCCACCATTTTCTGCAGCCATCTCCCCCAGAACCCGCGCCAACTTCTGGGAAAGCGGAGGCCGGGGAACTTGAGCTTTTTTTAGGGAATGAATGGAGAGGGTGGCGTGGAAGGCGCGGGGAGAGGTAGCGGAGGAGGGGACCAAGATCCCATCCGTCCGGCTTCAGGGAGGTCCTCTGAACCCGGGTAGCGGCCGGGGATCTGTGGTCAAGACCACCCGGAGATGGGGTGGGAGACTCCACCAAACCCAACAGAAAGCAGTTCACACACTCCCTCGCAGAGACACACACCGAGACAGACACAGAATCCCAGAAACAACCAAAGCCACCACCTCCCTTAAGCCCAGCCGCCGCTTCCTTCTTACCAAGGAAAGACCGCCATCTTCCCAGTCACATGACCGCTACTTCTGGCACCGCCAGCCCAATTCGCCCTTCCAGACCACGCCCCGCCAGGGGGCCATGTTTGTAAGGGGCGGACGCCCCTCCCCGCAGGGTCAGGGCCGCCATGTTTGTGAGGGGCGGGGCGCCCTCCCGCAAGGCACGGGCCTTGCCGCTCGGGAGGCCATGATTATGAGGGGCACCGCAGGCCTGGTGGCTGCTGGTGCCGCAGCGCTGACATGAGCTGGCACTTGCGGCAGGTGGCCGCCTGGCCAGCCGGCGCCCTCTGGAGGCGGTGAAGAATCCAGACACCTGCGGAGAGAAGACGCTAACCGCGGCTGGGGTGGGAACAGCGTCCAGCCTGCGCGTGCTTTTGCGGCTAATTAGCAGTTTGGCTGGGTAAGCCACGCCCCCTCTGCAGGACACTGCGCCCACCTCCGTGCACCGGGGAATTTAGGCACTTACCGTACCCACCTCCCAGGACTAACAACCTGGGTCTCTAAGGGCTGCCCTAGATCCAAATGGGACAGCTTTCGACTGGAACTAAACTAACTGGAGAAAACGGGGTCAGCATTTCACCCCACTTGGCGAAGCCGTACGTTTCTATGAAGGTGGATATCCGTTTCCACTACAGAACTTCCGTGCTCTAGTCTAGTCTAGTTTTCTCTGATTAAAAAAAAAAAATCACAGGATACTTTACTAAATGGTTGCCATAGTAAGCATGTGTCACGCCCTGTGCTGAGCACTTTGCGTTCACTCTTCATTTACTCCCCACTGCAAACCTCTGAAATTACGGCAACCGGGATTTGACCTGACCCCAGACCTGACTACTAGTCTAACAGGGGAGATCTAACGGGGGTGACTGTTGGTTAACAGTTGGTTAATCACAAGGCATCTGATCCTCACTTTTTTCCCTTTTTCTTTGAAGTGTCTTTTCTGACAGGAGGTGGTCAGAAAACCACATTCTCAAAAATCTCCTCAGGAAAAGGCAGTAGCACACACCCTAACCCTCTAACGGAATACGTAATTTATTTAGCACGCTGAGTCCTAGTTTCTTCAGCTGTGAAGTTAGGATAATTCTGACCGAGGTGAAGGGAGATGATCATCAAATGCCCGGCAAATGGTCAGCACTCAGTTGACGCAGTACATCACTCGCTTGGCAGGCTGAAAAATCACATTGTAACTTCTGTGACCTTTCTGATTTCAGAGCTTTTCTTTCCAGGGCCACAGACGATGCAGTGTATCATAAAGCAGGGCTTCTCCCGTTTGAATTGCACAGACTCACCCGGGGATCTTAAAGGCAGGTTCTGATTCAGCTCTGGGGCAGGGCCTGGGCTTCTGCATTTCTAACAAGTCCCCGGGTGGCATTGCTGCTGGTCTCTGGATGCAGAAGGGGCTGTGATCGTTGTGGGTGGTAAAGGTGGGGAGGGGCATAGAACACAAGCAGCGGCAGAGCAACAGCGTGCGCTCATCAGCACATTCAGGCACACCCACTGATTCTGAACTCTTTAATAATGTCAGGTGTGTTACACAGATAATGGAGGTAACCCTGAAACAGGCTGTTATAAGTTATGTCAAGTGTGAAAGGGGATTCTTCCCACCATAGGCTGAGAAGCAAAACCACGCTTCTGGTGGCAACTTTGTCAACCACCTCAAGAAACTGCGTTGAGAGCCATAGAGAAACTGACCAAAAGGGAACAGATTAAATAAATAAGTGAAAAGGTAATATTTTACTGTCAAGTATAATTTTGGTTAGACATGGTATTTGTTCTCAGAGCTGTCCTTTAGAACCTAACCGATGTGACTCCACTGCACCATACCCCAATCGGATTTGCTGCATTCCATGACTGAAAGTCTTTGTTTTTTAAAATTTTTATAACCTACATGTATGCCCACTATGGTGTGTTACAGATAGCATTCCAACTCCACTTGCTTATTTTTTTTTATAACTATTACTCTTCATTTGGGGGTAGGAGGGGGATTGTGTGTGGTTGTTCATGGGACAGTGACATCTGACAGAAAAAAAGATCTTCATCTCCAGAATGGGTCCTTGTTTTCAGCTCAGTATGAGTAATAAAGAGTTCCCAGTCAATGTACATAATAAACAAGAGCAAAGGGTGGCCACTGGAAAAGGGAGAGGCTGTTCTCACACTGCCTTGTAGATTATCAAATGTAATATCTCCTCGATAAGAGGTAAAAATGAGGACCATTGGACTATGCTCACGTTAGATGACCAGGCAGCAGCAGTGGTTGGATTCTTAACGCTGTGCAAGTTCGCAGCTTGGTGTGAGCTTCAACCTTAGCATTCTCTCCCATTCGATCCGGCTAAGACATTTCCAGCTCCAGTGAACTTTTGCTCTCTGAAAAGTCCAACTCATGCAAAATCAAATGCCGGGGGGCTAATGTTACAGGTTACATATTAAATAGTGGGATATACCTTTCATGGGTCTTGTAATTGTAAAAAATTATCATATTACAATATTAATGTCTTGGCCACATACTTTTCAAAAGTCCTTTCTTTGGTAAATAAAAAAGATCAAATGAGATTTCTTTTAAGATGAAAAGTTTATTTTGCCTTTTGCCTAGAAGCAAAACTAGTGAAAATTAAAATTAAAGTATAAAAATAAATATAATTTACATTCATGGACATTCCACTCAAAGAAAAAATAACAAAAATAATATATATAAATAAAAATCCATTAAAAGCACAAAACAATGTCTGGCACTTTTATGAGAAAAAGCTGTGAACATTAAAAAAATTTATAAAACACACAAGCTTTTATCCTTAAAAAAAAAACTCAAGTTTTGCATCCTTAATCTAAAACTAGTTTTATCTCTGAAACATACTATTTGTTGTAGCCAATTTGCATTACTGTACACAAAACTTTTAGCATCTATCTTTCATACTGGAAAGACCCACAAGATCTGAGTAAGCTGTATCCTGAGTTTTCAGAATGATAAAGCACAATTTATCATATTAAGATAATTTTGATACACTTTGCCCACAAATATAAATTGGTACCTCAGACATTTTTGACTGTGTTCTATTTCTAATTTTCTGATTCACTCATTAAATAAATGATACATCTCAATAAAGAAAATCAAGTTTACACCCAGAGTAGATTACTATTTTCTGTCTACAGCTAGATGTAAAAGTTAAATTTTAAATGGAACGGAAAATCGAAGAAAACAATCTTTATCTCGACATTCTTAAGAGAATATTAAGAATATATATATAGTCTGCATTTTCAAAATACCAGTATCTTTTTAAAATTTAAGTTAGAAAGATTAAATGTACACATAAATGTTCCCAATTTTATGTGAGAAGCACAAAGCCCTTTTGGAGATGGCATGATAAATTAACAGTAACATTCTTTTTCATAAAATCATGTTCCCTTGGTAACACTTTTTGGTTTATATTTTAAATGATTATGTAAGTGATGAAAAACCTTAAACATTAGTGCCTCTTATGTAATGCAGACTTTAAACTAGACAGTATTATTATCCCATTTGAAAATCTGAATTTATCATATTGTATAGCCCTTTATTCTCCCCTAAATCCAGCATGCTAAAAAAAGCAGACTATGAAGAAATAGACTAAATAGAAAATGTAACTGCATGCAACACGTTATTCTATTTTAAAGAAATAGATGTAATAATGCATTCATTCCTAAGCGCTACTACATTTAAGAACGTTGTGCTATCTTCCCCAAATTTGTTATACCCTCCACAGAAAGATTTTATAATTTAATAGAAACGTTTCTAATAGTACTAGGGTAACATACATTATTAACATACATTAAGCCTAACATTTCTGTGAGACAACTAGTTGCTGAGAGGAATGTGTACCTATGACCAAAATGGTGATGCCCAGCTACTCCTGTGGTGAATTTTTGGTGGACCACAATCAACAGGCAAGTGTTCTATGTGGTTACACCGTAAGTCCAAGAATATGAGAGATTAATCAGAGTTTTCAAAGTTACAAAACCGGGGAAAAACATTCTTCTGCAATAATTTCCCCTCAAACAGAACAGTATCTAGTTTATCAAATTCAGCAATCAGTGTGCAGAGATTAATGAAATTTGTATTTCAGAACTTATTTATAAGTTATCACACCTTTTCAATATTTTATAGAAATAAACGCAAATGTCCTTTAAGTTTACAAAAAGGTTCTCGGCGGACACCTGAGTAATAAAACAAACTTATGTTTGTGCAGGTTAAGGACAGAAATGAGCCAATTACTAAACGCTAATTTGTCTTCACCTGAAACTGATATTAAGAGGAAAATTCGGTGGGGGGGATGGGACTAGCCAGACTGACCAAAATATCCAGATGATTTTTCAGCCCTTTGGCATCACTTTGCCTGTGTAAACAGAGTCCAGAGTTAAATAAAAGGTCGTGAGCAGGGGAAATAATATGGATCCTAACCCTTCCCCCCTTTTTTATCCTAATGAATGTTGTCTTCTTAAGTTGTCGCAACATTTGGCTGCTTTCTTTGGATTTTTCCTGCATATACTCCTAAAAATAGAGCAAAACTATTATTATTTCTCAATGTTAGTTTTTCTGTAATGATACCATTTAATGAGTGCTCACTATGTACCAAGCACTGAGCTAAGCAAAACACATTATATTTAATCCTTATGTAAAATAATCACGAGGTCAAAATTGTTACTACTATTTTAACAATAATAAAACTGAGACATAGGAGAGTAAGTCACCTGTGTAAGTAACAGAGCTAGAAGTAGAAACTCTGAGAACCCAATTCTACCTGATTCATTGTTTTACTTAACCATTTTGCATTACTACCTCCTACTCTGCTTTAATTAGCAATTTCTGAATTTCACTGTAAACTCTTAAGTCAAGCACAAGACATCAAATGAATGTTTTAAAACATATATGAGATCAGAGACTGCAATTTAGTTTCTAAAAACTATAAACAACTTTAATTGCTTTGCAGCAAACTTTATAACGCCTTAGAATTGTACTTCAGTCTAAGAATATGATAGTCTATCAACATAAAAATGAGTTTTCTATAAAATGCTTAATAAAAGGTTTGTCCTCCATGTAGGTCATATCAAAGCATAATTTCAAATTTGTTTGAAACATAATCCAGGCCATTAAAAATTTAAGGAGGAAAGAATAATCTTTTCAAAAGCAACTATGGATCCCTGTGTTGAGATTCATAGTAGAATTTTAGTCATAAGCCAAATTTTCAGTTTATGTAAAAGGATAAAATTCTTTAGTCTTTTTCAATTGTCTAAATATGCACTCATGTATAAATAAATCTTTAGGAAAAATTAGGAAAGAATTTTTGTACTTGTTTAGATACATATTAATTATACATGTTAATTCAAGGGTTAAGTACATTTTTATTAATAATTACGTTGCAATGCAATTAAACCACAATAGTTCTAGATACTAAACTTCATTGTACACATTAACTGCAATGACTTCCTATTCCTCCTTTATACTGTTGCGTATTACTGAATAGAAACAGTAGTTGCTATTTTACTTATAGATTCACA